AAATTCTTAAATAATTTCGATTAAGTTTAATTCATCGTGGATATTGTGATGAGGGTGAAGTAGTGTAATCATTAATGATGACTGAATTACTGACACATACTTTTTTGATACTAACAGTAACAGAGTTAGTCTAGTAGAAGCTCATGGCCTAAATAATATGCTTTATAACGCTTATCAATAACGTTTGTCTACAATTTCCATGAAAATGTACCTTACTCTGGGACATGATAAAAATTAATATCAGAAAGATTGTTAGTAGTTGAATAAACTATATGTAAATTATCAATTCATTTGTGATCTTGTTACAATCATTTTTAAATCAAAAAAAAAGAAAAGAAAAAAAGCTGAGAGGAATAACTTTCTGAATAAAATAAAACAAATTCTGGCATAGTATTAACTGATTTAAAGTAAATTAATTGAGCATATGTTATCATCTTTAAATCAACCTGTACACACGATTGAGTTAATTTACAAATAGAAAAAAGAAAGTTTGATATTATATGTTAATGAATATGAAACTGAGAATTTAACTAATTTATATATTGAATTATTTGAGAAATCAAATCACATTTATCTGTATAAATTCTTGTTTTATGAATACATTAATTAAATTGGTAACATTGAAAAATTGGATGATAAAGACTTACGTACTCATGCCTGTTACTTCCGATGGAGCATAGGCCTCTGACCAGCATTCTCCAACCCACTTTATCCTGGGCCTTCTTTTCTAGTTCCATCCAATTCTTGTTCATCTTTCTCATGGCTATTTCCATTTCCCGGCATAATGTGTTCTTTGGTCATCCTCTTTTCCTTTGGCCTTGTGGATTCCAAGTGAGGGCTTGCCTTGTGACATAATTGGGTGCTTTTTTCAATGTGTGTCCTATCCACTTCCAGCGCTTCTTCCCAATTTCTTCCTCCGCTTGGATCTGGTTTGTTCTCTCCCACATTAGGTTGTTGCTGGTAGTGTCTGACCAACGGATTCGAAGTAGTTTGCGTAAACAGTTATTAATAAACACTTGTATCTTCTGAATGATGGCTTTCGTAGTTCTCCAGGTTTCTGCTCCATACAGTAGAACTGTCTTGACATTTGTATTGAAAATTCTGGCCTTGGTGTTGTATGATAGAGTTGGAAATCAAGAAAATTCTCATCTTGTTTAAGTTTTAAACTATTGTAATTTATCATAATTTTAAGATATATTGGTCTCACTCATATTCTAATGTGAAGTCTATGGAAGTGTGGTATGAGTTAAAGGTGTGCAAGATATCCTCTAATTCAATATTATCATCATAAACAAAAAATGTGTTATCCATGTTTTCAAAAAGGAATAGGAAGTTAAAATATTTTTCGTGTTAATAAAAGATTTCCATGTAAAGAAGTTGTAAACGGATAGTCATAAATGAAATCCTGTAAATGAAACATAGTGTGTAAAAATAACCTTCACATCTCAGGAGATGAACGGAATACAGTGGACAGTTTGAATGCAACTAGACGATTTGAATTTCGCATATGATCTGGCTCTTTTACCCCATACACACTAACAAATATAGGTGAAGACAACTAGTGTAACAACAGCCGCTGCAGCAGTAGGCCTCAATATAGACAAAAGAAAATGCAAGATCGTAAAATGTAATACAACGAGCACAAACTTAATCACATATGATGGATAAGTTCTAGAAGATGTGGAAACCTTCACGTACCTGGACAATACCATTGATACACAAGGAGGATGTGATGAAGATGAGAAGGCACAGGTTGGCAAAGTAATGGCAGCACTCCTACAATTAAAGAACATGTGGAACTCACAACAACTGTCGGCCAACTTCAAAGTCAGAATCTTTAATACAAACGTCAATATAGTTCGTAAGTAGCGGAAACTTGGGGAATTGCTACGAGCATAATCAAAAAGGTACAGGTGTTTATTAATAGTTACCTACGCAAGATACTCCAGAATCATTGACCAGACACCTATTGTAACAGAAAATAAACCAGATTTCAATTGAAGAAGAAATTAATATTTGACTCTGCAGGTGGATGGGAAACACTTTGCAAAAATCGTTAAATTGTATCACAACTCAATCCCTAACTTGTAATTCTCAAAGGAAGAGGAAAAATAACTGACTCTAGAATACATTGTGTTTCGAATCGGAGGTAAATATCAAAAGGATCAAAATGACTTACGAAAAACTGGAAAGAAGAGTTTAGGACAGAGAAGGCTGGAGATTTCTGGTTGTTGGTTTATGCTCCACGAGAGTTAACGAGCGTAAATAAATAAGTAATTATAGAAATGCATAGAAATATTGCAACATTAGTCAGGTGAACCTTTTGTTCTTATGATTCAAACTTTTCAGCTGTACATATAATTATGTACATAATGTTTTATCAATTGTACATTAATTGTGATGTTTAGGCAAAACAAACTTCACTTCTGATACCACATTTTAATGTAAACCACTAGTTTAGTGATGGTTAAAACAGCTTGTAAAATAAACTTAATTTTCATCGACCAACAATAGGAATATTATCAGCAGAATTTCATTTCGTATTTTTCAAAGTACCTTTATTGAGATAATATATTGCAGTGAATTTTCGATGACTGAAAATCTAGACACAAACATTTATACAACAGCAAAATAAATAAATGTATCAGAAATTATGTTTATTTATTTATTCTATTGAACAAAATGAAACAAATTTAACAAATATATTAAATAACTTGGCAATAGATAGAAAAATTTATTTAAATTTACTATAGGTGGCTCGTACATAAGATATAGTTCATATCAGATATAAGTAATTAAGCTTTTGATAATGTTGTATTTTCACAGATTTAAATCATGAGTCAGTTGAAGCTAGACTACCATTGAAAACCTGGAAGCACTGGACGGCCGTTTCTCCCTAGTATGGGACTCCTCAGCAGTGCGCATCCACGATCCCGCACCACGCGGGGCTCGAACCCAGGACCTACTGGCTTCGCGTGCGAGCACTTAACCATTAGATCACTGAGCCGGCATCCAACGGTGTTAATGTCTAACTTCAACCAATCCACGAAGTTGCGCCACCATATACCATTGTCTTCAGTGAGCTGATATCTCACAACAGACTTGGTTGTACTCCACTGGTGACGGCTTCCCACTAGTGCTCGCGCGCGAAGCCAGTAGGTCCTGGGTTCGAGCCCCGCGTGGTGCGGGATCGTGGATGCGCACTGCTGAGGAGTCCCATACTAGGACGAAACGACCGTCCAGTGCTTCCAGGTTTTCAATGGTAGTCTAGCTTCAACTGACTCATGATTTAAATCTGTGAAAATTTCTAAAATCTCCACAAACCCCTTCTGATAATGTTGTATTTATCTGAACCGAATCGTATAATCGTAAACATTTCATTTTTTTTTCCCACTGTTAATGCTGATATTATACAGAAAGGCTGATTAAAAATTGGCAATTAAGTCATTCATCTGAAAGACACATATTATTCTTTCTGATTCACGAATCATTTCCCATACAACTGGTATCGATCTTTTTAAAGAAGGACTACATTAGTTGTTTTTTTTATTTATTTTATTTTACTAAGTCTAATTGTAAGGACTGATCTAAAATAATTATAATTGTACAATCACAAGTTTTTCCAAAAAAAATAGTTATCAGGCAATTGATTATGAAGTTTATTCTTCAGTTTGAGTGGACATGATATTTTGAGTGAGTTTTCGCTGAAACAAAATTATCCATCTCTCTATAATTCAGTTCTCAATGGTTCTTCTACTTAGATCTGTTCCTAATCAAAGCTAACATTGAAATGTGAATAAACATTCTAATTTTAAATAAAGGAATGAGTGAAAGTACAAGTTAAGTAATAGTAGTATATGTTATTTAAAAAATATATATATATCTTAGTTATCTTCAAAATCATTTAAATGTGAAATTATACAAAAAAACATATTGTTTGACTTAAAGATTTAACTGGTAATAAATAGGATGTTGTGAACATAGAAATTATATTTACTACGTACTATATTTATTACTTAGCCTTAGTATCTCACATAGAGTATAGGTCGATGATTAGGTATATCCAAGTCACTATGTCTAAGGCTTTCCATCGCAGTTTTTTCCACGTCATATTCGTGAGGATTTATTAATCCATCTCTTCTATTCAGGTTTAAGAACCGCAGTAACCTCAGATGGGTCCCAAGAGGAGTTAATTGTATATTTCCCTCTTTCAAATCGAAAATTTTGATTGGATTATTAATTAGTTTATTATGACATGTTTATTTATTTAAGTATACACATGTATTTGTGTGTCTTTAATTATCTGTTGATTGTTTGTGTGCCAGTAAGGTGTAGACATTCACTTCATTCAACATATGATCTGATAATCATCATTACACACACTAGGGTAAATAAACAAGTATGTATTCATAGAACTTTGTAATCCCATTTAATTGCTTTGCTCGAAAAAGTTTGATTTCCCTCTAATAAAAAAAAATCAATTCTTCGGTAATGGATTGGCTCTCCTTTATTGTTTGACTATCACTAATTCCATACAGTTTATTAGATAAAGGGGAGGAAGGACGATACATACCTAAAGCTGTATGTATAAATGAGTCATGGATACACAAAAAGAAATAGGTTTGAAATGCAATAATGAATCACAGTTTTATCATAAATGCACATACACACCTACAAAACAGTAGCAGGTGTGTGTTTTAAAACATCGCGGCTATATTTTCCCTTTATGTAACATACAGATAGTTAACCTTCGAAAGGTCACATGCATAGTAATGGGCTGGTTATAATGTCAGATATTGATTGGGTTAAGTTCATTTTTTGCAACTGACTTGAAACGATTTTATCTCCTTCTCCAGAGTGGAAATGCTAATTTATGTCTATGCATTCTATTATTCAGTTTACTGAAATTATTTACAAATGCATTGATAAAAAATTACTTTATAAAACATAAAAGTGAATAAAATAATAAACCACAATTTTTCTAATTCAATATTCGACAGAATTTTGGAAATCAACCAATAATTGGAATGTTGACTATAAACTATCTTTGAAAAATCCATTCCTTCCTAATTCACAATTATTTACTTCACAAAATTCAATGAAATCATCAAAATTAAGAAATCAACAAGATAGTAATATGTCAATTAATCAGTTATCACAACAACAAACACGAGAATATCCACGTTGGAGACAAATGAATATCATTTGTAATAAGAAAGATCATAAACTGACAACAACAACGACAACAACACCACGTATACGCCCGAGAGCAAGTTCAGTAAATGATCGTTCAACACAACATCATTATGAAACAAAATTAAAACATAAAGAAATTGAGAAACCCATAAATATCAATAATAATAATAATAATAATAATAATAATAATAATAATAATAAAATTAATCATGCAGATAATTTATTTAAAACAATGAAACAAAGATTAGATTTTAGAAATAATTATTTACATAAAACGAATGATAATAATAACAAAGTAGATCGATTGTCATTAGAAAAACATTCTTGTCAACAGATTACAAATATTCTATCACCATCATCTTCATCATCATCGTCTTCTTCAAATGTTCCCATAATTACTACAACTATTCAGAAAATATCACCTTTAAATAAAACTAATAAAGTTAATGAATCAATTGAATGTTCTTCGCTTCGATTAAATCAAAATCGTCGTCATCAAAATGGGGTGAGTCATGGTCTTTTATAGGGAATTAATTGATGCGATTACAATTTTCGGTCAAACTTACTCACTTACTTACGCCTGTTGAGGAGCATAGGTCCCCCATCAGGATTCTCCATCAAACTCTGTCCTGGGTTTCCCGGTCATAAAATGTAACTAAATAAATTGTGAATCGAGGCACACGCACAGTATTCACATATGCCAATAACAGACTGGTCAGTTGCAGTCTTAAACATCAATGAGAAGGTACAAGCAAAACAATACAAAGTGAATATTATAGTTCAGTTTAAAATTATTAGATGATGTGCAATCACTACACAATACGAGCTCAAAGTTAAAACCTTGAGGTTTGAAAGTGAACACTAGTTTACATGAAGTTCCTGTAGAAAGTTAAGGTAGTTTACATATTTTGGGAGCGAGACAAATATTACCGATTTTTTTGAATGACTGTTGTCCAATATTACAAATTTATTGATATTGAAAATATGAACTAACTCATTAGTCTGGCGGTACAGTGTTCGTGATGAAATATAAGGATCTTTGATTAGATCCCTGTAGGTGTGTCTAGTTCTTAGGCGTGATGAACTAGAATGTATACAACTATCTAACGCTTCCCAAGTATCCATTAGGTTTCTTCTTAACTGATATTACTTTGTACTGAGATCAACTTCTGATTGAACAATCTTCACAGAATTCCATTATTATAAAACCATCATATTTAATGAACTTAATGTGATCAATAGATCAATGTACAAGTTTGTTATTAATTTAAACAGCAGACCTTAAACACTTAGGAAAAATTTATTCGTACTGGTTGTTTAAATCCTCATATTGATATTAAGGATTTTAATTCACGTACTAAACTTCAATAAGAAGATTTAAACAAACAATGCAAACGAATTAAACCTCATCCCACTTCATAAGCCACTGATTACCTGGTCTCAGTAACTAAGTGGATAACGCGACAGAGTTTGAAGTGTACGGTACTAGGTTCGAATTCCAGAGTAAATGTCAACTACGGGGAACAGGTACACCCAGTTGATGAGTCCCAAACGAGATGAAACGTGCACCCTAGATTCCGCTGATAACCACCATCCTAGTCTTCTCATTTAGACAGAAAGTTTCAGGTTGATCGTTTAAAGAACCATTCTTCAACCTGGCATATCAATTTGTGCAATTGTTGTCGTCGGAAATCATATTAACAACAAAAGTATGCAGTCTTGGAGCCTAAAACGTTTCTCAAGCTACAAGGTAGGAAGTAGTGTTCACCTCGATGAAATAGTTAAAGTTTTTAGGAAACTGCGTTCATAAACAACAACCAAAGTTAAGTAATTAGTACGGGACCATTTTGTATCTCACACTTAGATCACGTGACCTCTGCATTCTTCATATTAACTGTCGAAATCTTGAGTTGACTGGTAAAGTATGCAGATACATCAGTGATTGTAAATAACTGTTTAGATTAACTAAAGAGGAAGCTGTGTTTGTGTGTAAGTATATCCTTATAGTGAACTAAAAATGTAATGGTATGTTTCACTTTAAAGGCTTTATTTACGCTTATAAACTTCGTCTACACACTCTCACACACACGCACACGCACACACACAGAAGTACTTTGTCTGAATATATAATCCTCGAGTGGACTGAAAATATTAGTTTCTAATGATAACTAACAAATAATATATTTACTGTAGAATTTCCACACTTTACTCATTAATAACGTAGAATTGATAATATTTAGAATAAGTAATGGCTTTTTCTCATTACGACAGACTAAACAGTCGTATGATTGGAATTATTTCATTTTTTGCGATTCTTCATAATAAACATATGATTACCAAGAATTATATCATTTTACATTTTAATATTCGGTGAATAAATATGTATAAATGGATTCTGGTTAGCGGTGAAACTCAAAAAGCGCGTTTCGTCCTATTTGGGACCCATCAACTGGGAGTAAATACACCCCTGTATTGATTGTCACAGTATGCATTCTACAAAAAAAAACTCGTTAAAAAGTGTTTATGTTGAGACTGTTTGCTTGGAATAGATGTATTCCAACAAAAACTGACCGGAAATTCAACCAAGAATATAAACAACAGGATTATTCAAACGCTTTCAAATAATGATATGAGCCTGCATAGAGTTTCACGAATCCTATATTTAGTATGTACTGTTGCTAAATAGTCTTATAATAGTACATTTCTATTGATAAATTAACGTATAAATTTACCATAATAATTCATACCAACTTCTTAAAATGTAAACTGTCAACTTTTCAGTCAGCTTGTCAGTTTTGCTTAAATTTCTTCTTTGTTCAATGATCACACTGTCATATTCCAAGCAAAATGTTTCACGTAAACAACTTAACAAAACTATTAAAAGTTGAATAAAAATCCAGTGTGCCACTAATTCAAATATCACTAATCATATGAAATTGACAGAATACAATAAAGCTAATCAAGTTTATTCAGTCTTATTACAGGACATTAGATAGATGATCAGGCAAAACTTCATTGGATAATCAGTGAGCTTCATTGATTTAATTCCTTAAGTTTAATCGGTCTTGTAAAATCTTTACGCTTAAAACATTAGATATAGTTACATACCACATGTGTTAGTAAGTTTATACAGATTGAAGAGAAACTCACTCGAATATATGTCTTCTATTTTCGGTCTGAACACTGCTTCATTTACCATACTACGGTAAGTCAAAGGTATTATTAACCCTCTTGAAATATCTGTCAGACAAATACTGGTGCATGTGCATGGTAAATTACTTGATGCACTGGGTGTATTGCTGTAGGACATTTCATGACAAACATTACATTAATTACTACCCAGTGATTAATCAATTCAAACATGAGTTTTAGGAGGGAGTCAGTGGTAATGTCTTGGACTATGAATCAAGGTAATAAGGGTTCGGATCGTGCAAGTTACATGAACTACCCAAAAGCTGAAGGTTTATTTTGGTGAAGAGTAACAGATAGCAAGACACCCAGTTTTAGAACTTCATACTGACCAATTCTAACCACCTAACAACTGGTATATTAATTTGAATCTTATACTAACTAATTTATTTTGAACACTTGAGTAATAAGGGTGATCGACAAACGTTAGATATAAACCATAGGAATCTAATGTTTTGGATTAAACAGTTATCCCTGATGTTTTCTCGTTTGTTTTAACATCTATCTGTTGTGGTCACCGTTATACTCTTATCAAATATTTTTCTGGCGTCACAATGAACAAACATTTATAGTTTCAACCAAAATAACCACAGAAAAATACTAATATCCAATCCAAAAAAATTATTTTAAAGAGTTTCACTGTTAATCATTTATATTAAGGTGACTATTTGTGAAAGAAAGTTTTTTCCTATAAATAGTAAACGTGTCCATTTCATCTGCTAATTAGAATCTTGATCAATTTGTTTATCCGGAACACGTGCATGATCTCTTTCCTGTATATTTTCATATTAACGCATAATTACATAAAAACTGCATCAAGATGTACATCAACAGGTATGAAAAAGTAAAACACAATATTTCATTACAGTCAATAATAGAATGTCCAGTAGCTGGTTACAAACTATTACACACTCTTTTGCAAACCACCCTTTCTTTTTTAAGTGATATAAGCTTTATATAATTAGTTTCTAATAAATTTGAACAAGTAATAAAAATAAATAAACATTTGTTACAAAGCGCAATCAGTCAATTGTTTCTATTTTCCTCAATTCCGAAAGTTAAACAACATTACAATTAATTCGACGTTAAGTATTTAAGTGCCATGGATCATAATTCTACATGACTAAATGTGGTTCAATATAGAAAAGATGGATTATGGGCAGTGGTGGGATTCAGAACACTCACTTTGTCTTGATTGGGAATCTTCAGATGGGCGCATTTGCATCCTAGTGTTTATGTTCACTTGGGGACTCGAACTCAATACCCTTTGCTCCGAACTCACAACATGCTATCCATTGAGCTACCGAATTCAAATAACCAGATATCTATGAATGATTATTAGTAAGGGTTAGAATTTATTTTTGGAAAAGTGAAATAGACTGCTACTAGTTACCTAAATTCAGTAAAAATGTGTCGTATCATAATAATTATAGTAAAGTTGACTAAATTTGATCTTATTACTACGAATTTACCGTCTCACAGAATGACGGTTTGAAAAAGTCACGAATTTACAAGAAAAGTTTACTACATACAATATGAACATTAATTTATTGGTATTCGTTACGCAGGTTTTCTTCTACAATTTTCTATTTTTAATGACTTGAACATATTCATAGTTGTTAGTCTAAGCTGTGTTTGTATATAAAGAATATGTCGTGTGAATTCATATAATTATCGTAAATAGTGGTTGGAGATGCTGTGCAAGATGGAGCAGATTCGTGTACTCTTTACCTTCTATTAGATTATGTTTTGAAATTATGTGATACCTTTTTACTATCACTGACATTAGTGCCATATTGGTGTTCATCGCACTGTACTGACGTTATGTGCGTGCTTACACCAATGCACATGTATTGTTAGATGTTACGTTTCTTTTGACGGACTGAATTGTACCTGTGGTACAACTTAATAATATGAATGAAATATTTTTCACTCTTTACTGGCCCCCAACAAGTCTGAAAAAATTATTTCGAGTATAAAATTTACTTGTGATATCAAAGAAGATTGGTGGAAATAGGAAGAGAAGATAGATATGAAAAACTCAACCAACCAACAAGAGCAAAGTTTCGTTAATCATGAGTAAATGAAGGATATATAGAGTTGCGAATCGTGTAGGGAATAAACATAAACATACAGTTGTAATTAACCAAATAACTAACAAAACAATAGGGAATTTTAACAGCTCAATCTTCAAACTTTTCTGAAAACTTGATCCATTTTGAGGAAATTTTGAGGTTTTGGTGCCATTTCTTCAATTCCCCGAAATTTCCCTTAAACCTTGGTGAAGGTCATTTGACTTTGGTGGTTTCCCAAAACTTGGGAGATTGGGGGGTTTTAGGGACTGATTAAATATCAACAGCTTGTTTATTCTTTAATCAGTTAAAGCTTAGAAAATTTTCTACTTTTAATATAGTTGATCAACGTCCAACCGGTAATAGACTGGATAACAGGAAACATGCTTCGTTTACAGAACGTTAACATAATTGTTTTATCGATGTAATGGTTAACAGAAGCGATAAACTTCATGGTTTTCAAATGATCGAGACAATTTTTAGGTCACGTAAAATCTTTCCGGTAATGTTTCGTTTTCTCAGTTGGTTTAACTGTGAACCCTTCATTTCCATCCTGGAGAGCATCATGAGGCTCAACTTTAAGTAGAATTTATCATTCTTGACTATTAGACTAACGGTAAGTCAGTCCTTTTTGGTGATCTTGCTTTTGACTGGTTGTCTTCGCAGATTTTACTAACTTCATGTAACCTTCCTCGTAACGCCGTTGACTGAAATCAACCGACAATTTGATACAGATCACTCCATGTAGAAATGGTCAAATGTTAAATAAACTAAGCAACCAGTGGGAGTGCACTGACAAAAAAGGACAGTAAAACCAACCATGACAACTAACCTGAGACAAACTGACTTAGTGCTTGTAGAATAATTGGAGAGCTTACTTCTCCATGAGCTTACAGCTCCATGGTAACAACGTCCAGAGTGACAAAGAAACCTCTGAAATTAAACCGTACGTAATATAGAAAACTTTAGTAAGCATCAGTCATACAGTTTACTTGACTATCTTCATACAATCCTACGTAACTTTTTATATCTCTACACTTTTCTATTGATCTACATATTGATTTACCTTATGAAATCCACCTCATTAACACGTATGTTCACATAACTTTCAGGTATATGAAGGAGCTGAAAACGAATTTTGGGATGCTCTTTTGCAAGCTAAATCTTCAAATCCAGTTCAAACTGTTGAGACACAGGCATGGCGTTCATGGGATCCAAACCAAAATACAAGACATCCTATGAACATAACCAATAAATTCACGGGGGTTAATACTTCCGTCATCACTACCACCACTACTACTTCTGCAAATACCGACACTAATAATCAATCACAACAGGGAAAATTATTCACTTCAGCTTTTCATTTAAACAGCACATCTTGTGAACCAACAAAAATAAGTACTCGTAGTAAAGGTAACACTGAGCATAATGATTTAAACTTTCCACTTGAAATTGTCAACTCACAAGATAAAAAGCGTCAATTAAAACATCAAATCTCATTACCATCAGATAGATCCCATTTGACATCAGATGCATATGATAAACAATTTGTAATTAAGACTCACCAAACAACCATACAACCTGTATGCATGAATCTGGTAAATGATAGTGTAGGGAATTCAACCACTAATGCTATGAAGTGTAATCCCATTGTACATACAACAAATGATACTAGTCATACTACTAAAAACTGTGCTGGTAGTATATGCGACGATTTAAAACTTCCAAATTACTTTACACGTATTGTAAATACTAATCATTATAATGATACCGTGAATTACCAAGACACTGCAACTAATCCAATTTATTCAAGTGGATGTTTGAATAACGAGCTAAGAGTTGATACTAGTTTTAACTATTATGATACTAATGATAATAGAGATGATAATTTACAGTTTAATGGAAAAGAAGCTGGTAATATCGACAAAACATTATCGGATTACGATGCATTAATAGATCAAGAAATAGGAGGTTATAAAAATACAAGGTTAGTTATATCTTTTACTAGTTTAGTTCAGCATGTATTATTCGATTTTTGTCATAACTATGACAAGTTATTTATTTTTATAGACCAAGAGTTTATAACATAATGTCCGTTAAAGTAACGTTGAATTGAATGACGAAATTTTAATCGATTCTGAAGTTTATAGAATGTTATTATTTGTTAGGAAACCTGCCATGAATACTATGAGAGTAATGAATTATCCAGAATACATTTGGTCAATAACCTCCATTCAGCAAATTTTAGTGTATATTACATGTAACTACTAAAAGAATTTATCACTTTTCATCATCATAGAATATGTTACTGACTATCGAGACTCCATAACCTCGTGTTATTATTGTTCAGAGATAGGTAGTGAGTTTAAGTCTCATCGTGAAAATCAGCGTGAATTCAGAAACACTCACTGGATGAGTGGTGAAGAAAATGAAACACATCTATAAGTTGATTAATAGATTTTCACTCGAGTAAAATTCGGACTGTCAGTTTTTACGACTTGTTCAGCTGGATTTTCGTTGAAGCATAAGTAAGTAATTATAGACTATATTGACGAATATTTATGACATATCAGGACATAAGTCAAGTCAAAAAATATAAACCGTTATATTCTGCTAACAAATAGACGACTTACCATAAGAAATTAAGATTTTGTATTTAGTTATGAACAGGGTTCAAAGTGCATACTATCAAAATATTTCCAAATTTGAGTGAAGAATATCTAGAAACGATTAGTCTTTTTGAGTCTAGCATGTTAACCAGTCACATGTGTATATATTCGAATCTGTGTCCAACTATTTATATGACTGGGAGAATGAAAGTAGATAAAGTAGAGTTCGGACTCGTTTGAAACCATAATGTTTTACATATTAGATATCTATGTGATCAAAATAAATATAGAGATATAAAGCTTAGTTTGGAATAAAAGAAACTATTATTTAACTTGTAAAGTCTTATTGTAAGTTTATCTTACAAAAAAAAACGGTTGATCAGATGAAAATTCGGGTACGACAGTAGATATTTTTTGCGAAACTCATAAGCATCATGTTTCATTGTTAAACTTACTATTACTTACTTACTTACTTACTTACGCCTGTTACTCCTCGTGAAGGAGCATAGGCCGCTCACCAGCATTCTCCATCCAACCCTGTCATCGGCAATCCTTTCTAGCTCCGTGCAGTTGTAATTCATCGTTTTCATATCTGCTTCTATTATCCGACGCAATGTGTTCTTTGGCCTTCCTCTTTTTCGCTTCCCTTCAGGATTCCAAGTTAGTGCTTGCCTCGTGATGCAGTTTGACGATTTGCGTAATGTATGTCCTATCCATTTCCATCGTCTTTTCCTAATTTCTTCTTCAGCTGGAAGTTGGTTTGTTCTCTCCCACAGAAGGCTATTGCTGATGGTATCCGGCCAATGGATGTTGAGTATCTTGCGTAGACAACTATTTATAAATACTTGTACTTTCTTGATTGTGGTTGTTGTAGTTCTCCAAGTTTCAGCTCCATACAGTAGAACTGCCTTGACGTTCGTATTGAAGATTCTCACTTTGATATTGGTTGAAAGTTGTTTTGAGTTCCATATGTTCTTTAACTGTAGGAATGCTGTCCTTGCTTTGCCAATCCTTGCCTTTACATCTGCATCTGAACCTCCTTGTTCATCGATGATGCTTCCTAGGTATGTGAAGGACTCTACATTTTCCAGAGTTTCGCCATCAAGAGTGATTGGATTGTTGTTTTCCGCTTTGAATTTGAGGACTTTGGTTTTCCCTTTGTGTATACTGAGGCCTAAACTTACTATACCATACTTAATTTTCTTTATGATATTCTAATATGAGACTAGGTGTTACAGGAATAAAAATCGATTAATAATTTGAGTTAAGGTTGCTATAAGCATAAAGTTACAAATCAATGAAAATATTGTTTATTCATGATGATATTTAATTGTATAGTTTCATTTTTTTTTACAATAAATTCACCTTGTAAACAATTTTCGTTAAGGACTAGTATCACTTACTTACTTACTTACTTACTTACTTATTCCTGTTACTCCTCGTGAAGGAGCATAGGCTGCTCACCAACATTCTCCATCCAATGACTAGTATCACTATAAACAGAATTATTTAATAATCAAAAAAAAATATTGGAAAGGTTAGATTAAAGTAACTTTTGAATTCCAATCAAATACCCCTAATAACAATATCGTGCTCATATAGACAAAACAATAGAGAAGCGAATATGAATATCTTCCAAATTAACTTTTATAAACTTATCTATGATATAAACTAATGAAAAATTTTAAATTAACATTACATCACTGTGTAAATATTAACTATAACTAAAAATCAATTAAATTATAACATTGAATTTAAAGTAAAAAATGCTAATATTTTCGGTTTATTATTATTATTATTATTATTATTATTATTATTATTATTATTAGTAGTAGTAGTAGTAGTAGTAGTAGTAGTAGTAGTAGTAGTAGTTGTAGTATTAGTATTGTTATATACATTAACATTTTCTTATTAACTCAGTTCAATCTATTTCGAATTGTCATTTATTCACTACAATATTGTAATGTATTTTTAATTGAAATGCACAAAATGCCTGGATAACATTTGTAAATGAAAGAACAATTCACACAGTCATACATATACACTACCACATGTGAATAATGGAAATCTTAGGAGCATATATATATATACATATTCACATGTATTGATAAGTGTACTGTATAGACATGATAATTCTAAACTTATCAATTATTAATTACTCAATCATATTTATCATTTACATACATATAACTAAATATTTATTAAATATTTCTTTATGTAACCTTTAGATATTCATTAGATTTGAATGATTTGGCAACACCTCAAACAGTTGGACATGTATTTGTTATGAAAGCTACAGCTTATCCTATAGATGAATATAATTTTTCATCGAATCCACCAATTGATTCTTTAAACAATAATTTCTCTTTAATTTCATTGAAATGTTCAACAACAACATCAACAACAACCACAGTATCAGGAGCATGTTGTGCAAAGTTGAAAAAAGACATATCATATCAAGACAATCATATTCCAGGAACAATAACCACAACGTCAACAATAAATGATACATGTAAACATAAGAGTAATAACAATATATCTGAACCTTTGCATACAAACAATAAACCAAAATTAAGACGTGCATATTCGCTGAAAAAACAATCATCATCAACATCTAAGCGAACACAACCATATGAAGATTTATTATTGTTTAATGCAAATTTGAATGAGAATAATAATAACACCAACAACAGTTTAGACAATGATGGTAATAATGACAATTATAATCGTAGGCATGGATTATTATTTCTAGGGGAAAGTTCAACATGTTTACGCAATAACATATTGCCTACAGATAAGGTTAGTGAAAAAATACTACTATGACTCTTATTATTATTATTATTATTATATGGTTGTCCATTTAATGTTCAAGCGATAGTTTGATCATTAGACTTTGGATGTTACTATCTTTTGATATATTTCTGATCGAAAGTTTAGTGGAAATTTATTTAAAGTGTAATTGGATCTTATTAAGCATTGCTATTATTTTTAAAATTATGGATAATTATAGAAAATTTACAATTATCTTATCCTAGTTTGGAATATCAACCAACATTTGTGGTGAAAATGGTCTAATCAGAATCAAGAAAGTAACTATCATCTGTTTCTCTAGAAATTTTAAAAAGCAATGCTAGCAGACATGTTATTGAGATCTTGGTGGTAAAGTATGTGTGTATCGTTTAACGGACGAAGACTAGGATAGAATTGTGCGAAATTACACACTGCGTTTACAAAATATGAAAGTAATGAACTGAATAGATCATTTTACCATCTTGAATTGTTTCTTACAAACTCCATTATTCTTTTATTTCCACTGCTACTACGATTGCTTTTGCTCTCGGTTCTTTTCTCCTCATTTTTCTCTTCTATCGGTAATAATTCTACCTTCAGTTCTTGATACATACTACTTCCATCTGTTCGTATAAGTAGCGCACAACACAACAGTACTTAGATAAAATAAGATTAGTAGAAAAAGATCTACTGTCCAGTCATACAACAAAAAGAAATACGACATGAGAGGAAACTCAAAAGTTGAGCCTACTTAATCTGGCACAGATTCCCTCCGAAATATATTCTAATAAACTCGAGTTTATTTCTTCATTCAAAATAATTTTAACAACTGAATAATGCCTTTATAAATGTATGGAATATAATAAACATCATTGTACCATATAAATGATTGACAGGATTTGGATTTGGATCTTAGAAATTGACTTCATTAAATATTTTGTTAACCTTTGTAAAAATGTTATATAAAACTGAGAAATGTTTTCTGGAAATATAGGAGAGTCTATGGCCTGATAAAAGATTCAATTAAAGCTCTTCACTTGAATGAAGATGACTCTGTAGAGCAAAATAGTTTTCTGAAAGATATAGAAAAACGACTAGAAACCTCTAAAAGATTAGTAATATTTTAAAGCGATCATGCTTTCTAAATCTTTATTACTTTTGTGTTAAAAAATTTTCGATTTTCACAATCTCTTACCTACTGGCTTAGTGAAGTTGTGATCATTATTGAAACAACTGAAAATTTTCATTAAACTTCATAGATCAAAACGTGGACCTACAGGTTGTGCGTAGGAAAACGTTACTTTTAGAACGCGAATAGGAATTCAGTGATCCATATTTTCGGATTCAATCAACTTGCAATATAATGGAATAATCAGTCACTACCGTTAGTTATTAACTGCTTTACTACTGACATCGTTTAATTTAACCGACCATGACTACTCAAGCATGCTGAGCGCTACGGAGAAAAGCTATACAAGGATGAAACAGTTGTTCAGTATTTCTTAGTTCCCATCCGTTCTACAGTTGACATCGATTAGTGGGAATATCACCTACGTATGCTTAAAAATTAAGTTGGTTCGTTAGCAAAAGCGGTATAAGGTCGGAATTTTGATCGTTTTAATATCAATAATGATATTTGATATTATTATCATTATCATATAGAACGATGGCCTGGACTGTTGTTCCAGAGAATTGGCATATTTTGGAAAAGAAGAAAAGTACAAGGACTTGTTTCTCAAGCGAGCTCTATATACATCCTTTATAAAACTCGATATACTACCGAAATAAATACTGCTAAAATAAAAGTCACTAGACGACTGTAAATTATTACAGCTACTCATGTTATTCAAAGGAATGTTTTGTTGGTCGTTGATAAGAATGAGATAGTTGTTAATGATGGGAGTGGATGATGGCTATATAATATTGTGGAATGACGGAATGTTGGAAATATGTATCATTCAGTGTCTAGTACCTATTAGGTAATCGACAAGAAACGAAGTCTGTTGGTCCTGAGTTCCATTTCAGGTAATGTCGTGGATGGAATTTCATTCTAAAACAAGAAAGCTACCCTCTGTCACAATGGCTTTTAACAGTTGTCTAACTAAAGCCGGCTTGTGATACAAACTATCTCGGAATTAATTATTTTCCAGAAAATTCCCATTATCGTTCAGGTTGTATTAAAATCAAGAGATAATACTGATCCATGAGACTATTGATTGTTTTTTAAGTCATCAAATAAAATGTACTATATCATAGCTCATATCCTTGAACTATTAGAAACAAATAGTTGAGGCTGGTAGATGGTGTAATGTAAAGTAACAGATTACATTACTATATTGTATCTACTCTTTGTCAACCTCTAAATTTCGAACGTTGTCATACAGTCTATTAGTATGGAGCTCGGTCCCCATAGTTACTGAAGCATGTTTTTTCTTCATTCCCTGATTTATTCCTTATGGTTGAAAAAAACGAGTTTTGGTTAGTTAAGTGTTTTTAGCTGTTTAATATGATCTAGCTGAATGAAATCTTTTTCGCGATTCATTTTTATATGGTACAACTATCAAATATTAATAATAATAAAAGGACGACTGTATTTATTCGTAAATGTCTGTTATGAGCACGTTCATCCCAACCTGTCATGCCAGATGAAAAATATATGTAGTGTGAAATCTGTGGTTCGAGATGAAATGTTTGATGAAAATAACACTCCAGTATACTGTACTAACCTACTAAACGAACGGAAAAATCCAAATAGTGCTAGGTATGATACGTTTTCTGAACATTGAAGACGTTGTAGATAATCTCAACTAGCAAACCATTTAAAACGTTGTTTGAGTATTTTCACTGTTGATGTAAGGCAGTTATCTATAGATGATATGGAATAATGAATGAACCGTATTGAGAATTAACTAAGATCAAATAATTCGCACCGTCGGTTTAGGATTCTAGATGTTAATGTGTTTGTTGAAAAGTCAAATTATTTTGGTCCTGATCTTACAGTTTCAAAGTTTTGCGATTCTGAAATGTTCCAAACCAGGACGAAAAAACTATATATTTGTCCTTAGTTTCCAATGGTTCAATGTCTAACGTCGATCAGTGGTAAAAACCAGTTCTATATTCCAACAAGTTCTGTGTAAGATAAACCATATAACCGAAAAATGACTAATACTCAATAAGTGAGTATTAGTCATTATCTATGAAATGCCGAGTATTTCTTTTGATATAAAAGTGTAAGTGAAAGGTTAGGTAGAAAATTGTTAAGTCTATAAAATATGGAAATACCTGAGTAATCTACTTTTGAGGTTTTTAGAGCTGTGATATTCCTGGGGTCAAGTTTAACTGCTCCATCCATGTCGTAGATACAATTGTTATTTTACCTACATTATAAAATGCAACCAATCATAATTTAAAAAGTAAAAGTAAAAAAATTTGGCACGTTAAAAAAATGATATCAGTGCGAAAAACGATGGACAGATTACCTGATTATTAGCTGTTTTCAAAATTCTAACTATTCAACACGAACAATATAATCTAACATAATATTTAGTGAGAATATGTACACAAGACTACTGTCAGGTTTATTCAATAGTATGTTAATTGATGAAACAAATTTTCGGAGGCATTTTTATACCAAACGACTCACATTAAATCTCGATGTGGGAAGGTTTGACTGGAAATCCAGCAAAACACTGACAGTAAAAGAAATACAGAACAAATTTTTATGAAACTAAATTCAACCACAGTACTTTGAATAAATTTGGTAAGTTGTTTTTAGTGAAGTTTCTTTGTCTAAGATGGATGGTTTAGTCGAGAGGCTTTCATTGTCTTTCTGGATAGTATCATCAGCACAAACTCTATGTAAAGATGAGCTATTCGAATCTTCCCACCTGTGAATGTCAACTTATCCTTTCGACTTTGATCTTTATTAGTTGCTATTGATTCTTGTCCGGTCATTACTGACAGATTTGTTCCAATCATCTTCCCCTTCGACCTGATTCCTGATACCGTATTTGCCCATGATTTTGCAAACTGGTTGGTGAATTAGGTTGGTTTTGATACGTTTATTGACTGCTAATGAGCTCCAAAAATCCTCTGGTCTTCTTTACCTTTGATGTGTCTGAACTCTCGACATTTTCGCAGTCTAACGTATGTTCACAATGGTTCATGTTCATTGATATCAGCGAAGCCACATAACAACGTTTGATAAATTGTCGATTTTCATCTTGCTTCATTAGAAATAGATATTGAAATGGATTTTGCTCATTGCTTTATGTCTATAAGTTGAGTAATGCATTTATATTGACTAATTATAACCTAATGGTTGAATTCCTCAATTTTTAACCAGTAGGTTACACATTCGACTTCCATCCCCCCTGGTTTAGACATCTGAGTAGTATGGTTAATTTTGAGGACAATTCTTACCAGAAAGTTGACTATGTAACCTTTTATGTAATAAAAATTTATAATACACATGACATCATATTTGTATAAGTCGTCTACTGAAACTATGTTCTTTTAATAAGCAAGATAATTTTTATGTTTTGCAGTCTGAAAGAGATATAAAACTTAAAGTTTATTGACTACTCAACCTATATATTGATATTGAAATAAATAATTACAGCCTAGTTTTACTTTTTATGTCACCTATACTTTAATTGAATATGAGTCCAATTTATTTTCAGCTATTCTTACTTATTGACTTTTAGTGTAGTAGAAAGCCACTAATTTTATGGACTAATAGTGTGAATTGATTTAGTTCACTATTGAAGATTTTTATTAATAAATTTGTTTATCATAATGATTGATGCCTAACAGTTGGATTATTCAGTCGAATATAAGTTCAGGTTGTTACGCTATATCATTACTGTGACAAGAACTTAATCATCTGGAAGTTAGACGAGTTAAAATTATAATAACATCAATTTTATAGGCTAAACATAAATAATATGATTTGTAAGTATTTGTATCTTGTCTTTGTTGATGTTGAGTGCTGTAATTGATCAGTCTCTTTCGATTATGCGTGCATCTTGTGCGAATTAATTGGATACTGAAGTTTGGTCACAAACTCTTAATTGAAGCTAGATATTTGCTAGCAGTGGGATGCGGGACACATATTTTGGTCCAAAAAGACTGATCAATTGCTGTTATTAACGTCAGCAACAGGAAGGCACAAACACTTACAGATTAAGTTCATCCCTATTACACAGGGCAGTGACTATCTGAATTTATCAATTCAATGGACAACGTGTTGAGCGTTTGAAGCCTAATGTGATCAACAACACTGATATGCAGTCACATACAGATTATAAATCCTACTTAGGACGAAACGCACATTCTGGATTTCACTGCTAGTCACCATCCAATTCCAACTAAGCGGAGAATATAGTTAAAAAAGAAAAATGAAAATGAGAGGTATGATATTTAAGAGACAAAATTTAAATTTAAGATCTGAAGAGAGATAAATAGGGAATACCTTTGACTTACTACAGTCTATCTTTAGCTATAACACTTAACCCTTAACGGACTCTAATCAGGAATTTTACTCCTACCAACATGACTCAGTTTGAAATTCAGTGGCTCTATGCTTAGAAGAAAAACATATCAAAAATATTCATGAAGTGTTACGCAGGTTGTTCAGTAGAAGTTGCGCTTTGTCAGCGTTCATACCAAATAGTACTAGTCTGCCTTATTTTACTTCAATAGAAAATTCTCTATATAGAAGGTAGTCATAAACGGTGATGAGTTAGGATTTGATTCACAATAAAGCATAGTGTTAATCAAAATAGATCACTGAGTGACAATTCCAAATTATCGGTCTATATTCTGTCAAAAACTTATTTTAACAGTTGAATCCATGTATCCATCTAAGCTAAATCACCAATGAAGAACTAGGGGTACTGGACGACCGTTTAGTACTGGTATGGATCTCCCTAAAAGTGCGCATCCACGACCTCACACGCGGGACTCAAACCAAAGACCTTCAGTTTTGCGCGCGAAAGCCTAACCTCTCGACCACTGATCCGGCATCCATCGGTGTAAATGCCGAACTTCATGATCATAGACTAGCTTAAATCGACTCGTGAATTCAGATGTTAAAATACTACAATCTCCACAAATCCCTATACTGTAAAACTTATTCCATTTATTTTAAATGTTTAAATTTATCTGTCACGTGGTCATTTATGAATACTCTGTATAAAAGAATCATTTCAGCTGGAGGTAATTACCTTCACAGTGATTAAAGTTTTGTGTGTTGATTTTTGCTATTATATGTAGTTCTTTCACTCTCTTTCATCTCCATTTGATAGATTGAGAAAATTACTAGAATGTATGATGAAAATGAGGCGGATAAAATACACAGACAGAAAACAGTTAAAACAATTTCTGAAAATAATCATCGACCTACTCATTCATCATCACCGCCGTTATCATCCAAAGTAGTCCTGCAAAAACTGGACGAAATAAAAAATGACTCATCCACTTATAAACCAGTCTCTAAAATTGTTTATTCAAAAACATTGAATAGTCAAAGTAATCATTGCCCAGACTTAGAGACATCAGATGTTACTGATACATTTGTAAATCATTATAATAATTCCAAGAAATATGATATGCTACATGGAGATCATACAATTTGCTTTGAAACTGATATGGAATTAAATAAGAATTATTTCCAAAATATTGAACAAAATTCAAGTGAGTTAACATATTTAAACGGTAACTGTAAATAAATCTTTTGTCAGAAAACGGAAACGTTATATTTAATTATCTAACTTAAGCGATAAATATTTGGCTGATGGATATATTGAATGATTTATTAAAAACATTATGTAACCAAGTCAACTCGGCCTATGCTCCATTAGGAGTAACAGGCGTAAGTAAACCTAAGTAAAAAAACCAAGTCAAATATTGTCACAATGATTTAAGTGACCTGTAAAGACTAATGTATTACAATGTACATTTTCACCATAATTTGATGTTATCTAAAGTACTACTAGAGATCAGATGGTACTCTACAAGATTTTCATTTTTTTATTAGAAATTTCTTAGTAGAACCTTTTTGCAACCTCGTAAACTCTCACAACATTGAATTTTATTCCAATGGTCTGAAAGTAAAGTGCTTACTGAAGAGCCTGGATGCTATCGATTCAACCTCGTGTATACTGATGAATTCAAATTGAAGACGGGACCGCTATTGATTGGCATATCATCTCAATAGTTTTTTTCCAAATGACAGAACTTCATATCGAAAAGTATCTGGAAAATATAATAAGCTCGTTATCGAGTTTCTAGATCGTGACCGAAAAACGATTGAAATAATATTATATTTTCGTATTCATGAACATCTTCCCGAGTGACTAAGTAAAGATGTAGTCAATGCAGTAATCAACTCAATACTAGCCCATTAAGTGCAAACTGATCATCATGCGAGTATAAGTCAATCTTTTTCAACAATTTATCGGGTTAGTAATTCTTAACCAAAGTCAGTCCGACTCAAAGCTTTTCAAGCAGTAAGAGCAATAGCCTTTCGGATTAGAAAACCGAGACTGTATACAAAAGAAAAGCCTTCAAGACCGTCTCTTGCCTTGGTCAATAAGCCAATAATAGGCCTAACTATGGAAAGACTTCATTTGACTAATGTACGTACAACATTTCTTAGTCAAACCTTATTGTCTCTCTTATTTTTATTTATATGCTTTTGTATTATTATTATTATTATTATTATTATTATTATTATTATTATTGGTCCCATATCACTATTAATCTCCCGAACACGTGATCAATTCAGTAACCACCTATCCCACTTTATCATTTCTTACTGAATTCATATGATTTTGTGTATGATATTGTCATGCACTAAACAATTAGTCGAATTTGTAATTACATTATCGCTCATTATATCACTTTAGTTATATATAATAAAACTGTTTGTACTGTCATATCATTTGCATGACAGTGTTAAGCGATCTATGTATGTTATTGTTCTGATCGTGATATGTAATTCATTCTAATAAATTTAATTTAGTAAAAATTGTATTTGTTATGCTAACCGACAAATTTTGAAAGTATTTTAAACTTTGATGCTTATTTAAGTGGTTTATTTATGTGGTAACGCGTGATTTCAGCAGTCATTTTGATTATTTCATCTTTTGATCCTAACATTATTTAATATTATCTTAAATCGTTTAAGTGATTGAATAAATTCATCTAACCATATGTGTGAATGATTATAGAGTATTTTACATAATAATTGATACTGGAATCTAGAAGTTACGGTCTGTCCTCATTTGGGATATTCTTTCTTCATACTGTTAATATTTTTACCAGGGATTGAAACCAAAACCTATGGTTATAATTTCCATAATGTTCTTCGTCCGCTACGATAATGAGCAATGGTAGATCATAACCAGCTCAATAGGCATGACATTTAGATAATGAAGAATATCCAGTTTGTAAATCAAGACTATGCTGAGACAAATGTGGAAGGAAGCTATGCGTTAGTAGAGGTAAACTGGTGGAATTTGGCACTAACGAATAACAATGGGAAAATGTAAACCCTCACAGCTTATTTTTAAATTATCTTTTTAAGTGGTTTTTCAAGCTTTTAAAATCTTCTATACCATTATCTCTATTAGACAGCATTAAGCACTGAGCTATAATATTTTACTGTTGTATAAGTTGCAGACTAGATAAGATAAATATGATTTCTATACATTAAGACTTGACATTAGTGAAGCCATTTTGTCCGTTTTAAGGAACAATTTCACCAGACATAACATTATCAATACTATTTGACTTATTCTCCTCATATCACTTAAAAAATCACCTTTCAACTGTAAATTATTATTCATTACACAAGTTCATAACCCTCATTTGGTCCTAGTTATTAAGTGGACACTATCAAGGTCAATCTAGTGTCGCTCAAAGGTCGTCTATAAATTATGGTCTCACCAAATAATCTTTTAAGAACTGTTATGGTTAATTCAAACTATGCAAGTTTTCTGATTTAACTAGATTCTGAAGATATGTGAGATCAAATTGAACTATTGACCAAATGTCTGAATAAATTACTCATATTAGACACTTTTTATTTACACATCAGCTGCTAAACAATAGTATTTTGGACATAATCTCAATAGAAATAAAAATGAATTTTCGATTCGTTATTCATAAATTATTTTTTATCTCGTGTATAGAAGTAAAGAAATTAACCATTTCAACGGCTATAACGATGACGGCAACGACAACAACAACAACGATATCAGAAACTGTAACAAAACCAGTTAATTCTGAATGTCCAACATTAACTTTGTTGTCTGCTCCAAGGATATCACTGCCTCATGAGATTTATCAAAGTGAACAAAATATTTGGGATAAAAGTTCAAACAGTAGACAACAACAACAAAATAATAATCCACACACTTATCGTCACCAAATATCATCAGATTCTCAACAAAATAAAAGTTTAAAACTTGAATCTAATACATCATCACCTGGAGCTAGTAGTCGAGCTAGTACTGTATTTTGTCCACCATGGGATACTGCCCCAATTGGTCCATATATTGCAGATTTATTAAAACTGAATCCACCGTTCTCATCAACTCTTGATGATTTACAACAATCTCCTAATACTTATCACTCTAATGATTATAATTCCAATAATCTTAATAATAGCAAAATTCATTCACAATCAAGGAATACACATTATCAACGTAAAGATTCTACACGGAGTCGTAGTAAAACATTATCTAGTGTTGAACATCAATTATTGATTGGAAATTTACTTACTGACTATAATAATAATTATTGTTCTTCGTCTACTGCGACAACAACAACTACTACTGATAACAATTCAGTAATTTCACCTTCATCACTATTAAATAGTAAAAATAAAATTGATATGTCTAATCTTTTCAGTCTGTGGGAACAACAACAACAACAAAATCAGTCGAACAATAGAGAATTAAAAGAATTGTCATCAACATCACTAGGAAATATGAATGAGTTTTTCAAAAGCCTACAAAATGATTTTTTAACTGAAACGACAACCACGGTATTGGAAACATTATCGACGACGGTGACGATGTCAGCAGCAGCAACAACAAATTCGTTAACAATGAAGGATGATGGTGAGAAATTGTCACCACCACTTCCAGTGAGAAGTAAACGTGGACTAAATGATCCTTATTCACTTGTTAATGTATCAAAAAATAATTCATTAGATTACAAATTACATTCATTTATTGATTTTACAGATGACATTAGTGTAAGTTGAAATGAATTAATTCATTAAGAAAGTGAATGATATCATGTATGAAAATGTAGTTTATTTTAAGTTTTATTCAACCACATGAATAACTATGATCTATTCAACATGGTTATTTACACAGTTCTTAATAGTGAATACTGTATGAGAATTAAGGAGAAAAAAGATACTATAAATATGAGGATACTGGATGGTCGTTTCTTCCTAGTTTGGTAATCCCCAGCAGTGCACATCCTTTATCGATCGTCCAGTACTTCCAGGTTTTCAATGGTGGTCCAGCTTAGTTTGACTTGTGAAAAAAAATATATTGAATAGTTTGCCTGTTAACATGTATTTAGAATAAATTTTCAGTCAGGACAAAAAATATGACCAGAATGTCGTTGTAATTCGATTTACAGAGATTTCTTTGTGTTTTATATTATGAAAGAACGTTAGTTGGAAATTCTATAATCACAGTGAAATTGATATGCTATATAACATCAGTTTGAATTTGGTTTCTATTGAAATTAGTTTTCACATTCATAAAAATAGGTTCTCCCTTTCACTAATATTTTTCTATGTAAGAATTGAGGAAGTATCATTAAATTTCACTAGTGAGACAAAAATGGTTGGATTGTCACAGGCCTTTGCTTAACCACACGGAGAGGTGCTTACGAGCCCGAATGTACAAATTCTTAGAACATCTGCCAATATAACTTGCTCCACAAAAACAACTGAATTGATAGATACAGATCCCCGTGTGGTTAAGCAAAGGTGTTGTCAAAACGGTTAACAGCTCCATTTTAGACCATCTAGATCAGACGGGACATGCAGCCAACATGGAGCAATCTTTTGCAATCACATATCGTATTAACAGCAGTCTACCTAATCCCGTCAGACTGCGAATCCTACAGATGGCTGAAGAAATTGTTATTCGGATCAAAAAGACAGAGCTTTGCATCCAAAAGAAATATATTCAGCCACTCTTTTTACCCTGGCCAACTTTGGGACCAACCAGTTAACAATCAATAATTTGAATAATGTTCATTTTATGTCCCAAACTTATTATTATTGCTATTACTAACATTATTATTATCTTTACCATTGTTATTATCATCTTAGTCGTTCTTCTTCTTCTTCTTCTTCTTCTTCTTTTTATTATTATTATTATTATTATTATTATTATTATTATTATCATTACACTTGATAACCTTTTGACGAATTTATTCAGTATCCACCCCTATCTACTATCTCTGACCTAATTCATATTATTCTACATATTACGTAAGTTCTGATTTCTATTCCATTATTTTCTCTCTCACCTCATATTGACCGTATCTATTCTGATCATTCATCGCACAATTTCATTTCGCTTATAAACGGATTTAAGTTAACACTTTATATTAAACAGTCCCAACATTAACGATCTGAATTGATTTGATATGATAAACAACAATCCTTGATTCACATATTACAATTTCCAAATGATGTACTCTGCCTTAAATCTGGTCAATTTTATGGATTATTAATTTAGATTTATGAATTGTAGAACCTGATGAGAAATTATTGAAAAGAATGTTCATTTTGTTTAGTAGTACATTTTTTTTCTCCATTAACATATTTCGATTGTTGTACAATATGTTGTAAATTCAGTAAGCACTTCTAAAATGGTTAACTAATCAATAGATTATTGGTACGAAAGTGGTACATAAGTCTAACGTGAAGGGATCCATGAATCGTGATACTAATAGTATCAAAGAATCAAAAACGAAGAACAGTGTGAAATTAATTAGAGATTTTATGCAAAAAATTCCATATACCTGCCTTACTGTTATTCGTAGTTTCAAAAATACAATACTGATTGTATCTGAGATCAAATTTATTGGGTGGACTAACCACGTCGTTCAGTCACCTTAAAATGTGCTTTAATCAGAATAAGTGTTGACAGTAGTTAGTTGCAACTCATAAGTATTATCATTAGTTTCTTTAAGATAGACGAACAGAGTGATTTAAGCAGATATGCTGGTCGAATTTCATTATAAAACGAGATTTATTCAAGTTTAATATCGTCTTTCAATACTTTATTGTTGGTTTTGTAATTCATACTTTAAAACTTTGTTAACTTCAAATAACTGACAGCATGAACATAAAATCAATGTACTTTAGATCTAACAAGTGAAGAGCAAAGATTAAAGAAAATTTTAAAGGAAAAAGGTCATCACTTTGAAAAGAGTTTTCATCATGAGTTGGTATAAAGCAGAAGAACTATTAAGATATCAGGAAGCATTTTATAATTGGTTCCTCCTTGTTTACTACTATTTTACGTTCATAAATGTATACAAAACGGAAACGTTGACATTCAATTCTTGTATCACGCATAATACTCTAAGATTAATAAAACAAACTGTTTAAATTCATTTTTTTCCCATTTCAGTTCATTAATGATGGATACTTTTTATGACTATTATTACTTAACAAGATAATTATTTAACTATTCAATAGATTCTATAGTCACTTTTCATTCGTACTTTTTAAAATTTAGCCATATGCTGTAACTGCCTGTCATTCAATGAATTATAATAATAACGATAATAATAATAATATTAGTAACAATTCAGCACAAGATTGTTCATGTCTAACATCAAGTGAATTACAAACTTCTTCATCTCATATAACGAGACCATTTAATAATCATCATATTCATGGTAAACTTCGTGATGATAATAATAATGGTAATAAAAATGTAGATGATAGAAGCAATATTAACATCAATACCACTACCAATACTACCAGTAATGGTGCTACAATTGATAATCACAATACCAATTACAGTGTAACTAATAATGCGGATAGTACTACTATCGAAGAACTGATACCGTACGATTATTCCTTGTCAAATAAATCAGTACCTTTAGATTTCTGCCAGAATCCATTAAATAATTCGTTGGATAGTACTACAAGCCATGGTAAAATATGGCCGGAAAATTATGTTTGTAAGTTGGACTGAGTTTTTTTGTTTCACTAATAAAATATTTATTTTTATTACAGTTGTAAAAACCGCTTGAGAACTATTAATTACTTGATGACTGCTCACCATCAGTGTTAACCTTATTAGTAATCTACGTGCTTTAACTTAAGATGCAGAAGTTGTGTATAGACGGACAAGTTTTTTACAGTAGTTCAGTAGTTAAACAATAGCGTCTTAACCTCAGTATATTAATATCTTGAGTCAAACACTAAACAATGCGAAGAGCGTGCACTTCCAGAGAATCTTAATACAAGATAAAGTAAAATATATAGATCAATTTGAGTTTCAAGTGAATTGATTCAATATTTTATACACATATATCTAGGTGGAAATATCACGAGTTTGTTACAAATAGATATGAGTCAAGCGACTTTTCACTACCATTTTACTCACTCAATATTAGTTAATAACTGGAAATAGGACAGATTTATCTACATAACCTTTTACAATGTCTTGTAATATTAACAATAGATCTACCATACAATAAGATGTCTATGTATGTAGTTTGCAATCATATTCATTTGAGAAATCTATCCGAATAATTTAAGTTTTATTTCTAGTTGATACTCATAATTAATTTTTATCGCTTAGGAAATCTGTGATAATCAAAGATAACTAGAGAAATGTTTAGCATTAGTTCAGGTGTTCTCATTAATATACATCCACAACCATACAGAAGATCAATCGCAGGACAATTATATCTCGTAAAGAACATACTGTTTCAATAACACTGATATGAAATCTGGTTTCTTAAGATTCAATTAGTCTGTTACACTTTCTCTGAATAAATGAGACTCAGCCAATTATAATTCTTGTCAACTTAACATGTAAAACAAAATAATCTGTCAATAAAAAAAGAGAATGAATTCTAGAAGTATGTATCATTATCAAATTAAAGTTAATATGGAGTATGAATGAAATTTAAATGTTATTCATAACTTTTCTAGATTAAAATATATATCAAGATATAAAGTGTCTATAGAATGTTCATAATTGAAGATTATCAACAAGTATACTTGGTCAAAGTAATACAATAAGCGATTATTTCAAGATTTTAAGAGGTTAATTGAATTTGAACATTATTTGTGAAGAAATTAATTTGAATTAGACCTTGAATTTGTGAATAACTGGATACATTAAAAGATTAACTATTAATCCTTAATAATTACACTTGTTGTTATCAGAATGGGTTTTGTGGAGATTTTTAGAAATTTGACTGATTGAACTCATGAGTCAATTGAAGCTAGACCACCATGGAAAACCTTGAAGCACTGGACTGCTGAGGAGTCCCATACCAGGACGAAACGGCCGTCCAGTGTTTGCAGGTTTTCCATGGTGGTCTAGCTTCAACTGAGTCATGATTTCAACCAGTGAAATTACACTTATGTTGTAGAAGATTGTATTTTTATAATGCTCTATTATTATTATTATTAATTTGAATTTCACGCTATTAATTACTCCTTAAATAACATCTTCAGATACTAATTTTTTCGATTACTGCTTATACTTTTACTACCTCTACCACTATGAGATTTGAATCGACAATTGTATCTCTGTACTAATGTGGTATGACAACTTGAACTGATGTATGTACGTACGAAGTTCTACGTAGTTGCTGACTGACTGACTGATTTATTATCAAAATACAAGTTACATAATGTATAATCTATTCCGAAATTGTTCAACTATCTTGGAACCAGATAAATAAAAACGATTTGTGTACAGAAAACGAGATTTATGATTGTTTATTATAGATATACATGTATATATGCAAATTATTTTAATGATTTACTTGATTAGTTATTTAGAAAAACAAATAAGTTGATTTTTATAAGTTGTATTTGTTAGATATAAAAATTGATTATTAACTATTTATTCAAGTTTCTTTTATAAGAATAACATTGTATTATTCATTATCGTCTTCACAAACATCGAATTCATCGTTTATATAGAGAATTTCTTTGTTCTGTAATTTACTATAAGCTTCATAATCATGTTGATATTGTTCATCTTCATGAGAACCCTCTTCATAAATATCTTCTTCGATAATTTCATCATCACTGTCCAATCTGTCTTTTTCGTATTCATACCATTTTGCTTCATAATCATAGTCGTCAGTAATTTCGTGTTCATTCGTTTGGTTATGAATGTCGAAAGGATTACTATCAACTAGTCTATGATAAAATCTTACATGTTTGAATTTTCTGGTGATTTTGTAAACAGTTGAACTGAAGTCGTCATTGTCATCTGTTAAGCTTTCAGAATAAACTAGACTGTCATATGTGGAATCACTGAACCTCTCCTCATTATCAGATTCATTGTTATCATTTTTTTGAAATAGTTCATTTTGATCTATCAATAGAAGACGATAAGTCCAATTACCAATGGTTAAAGTAGTTGTATGATCAAAATCATGATAAGAATGATTCTTTAAGTTGAATAATTTATCAAGATATCGATTGGTCATTGGATCAACACTGTCATAATCACTTTCGAACCCATCAACATTAATATTATTAATACTGGTACCAGCTTTACATCGATGTTGATGTCTCATAGTTTTTAAAAGATAATAATAACTTTTTTCTAAATTAAATCCACAATCTTTAATATGATTATTACATATTTTGTCATTTGTAAAATTATCTTTTTCATAAACTGTAATTTGTATAAGCTGAGATTTCTCAACTGGTAAGAATTCTCTTATCTCCATCATGATCTATACAATATATTTTCCATCATCAATAATATAACCTATTTATTTTTCCAATGTATGGTGCATACTATGCACATTGATGTTTATTTAATCATCATCATCATCATCATGACTATTAACACTGTCAAAAACAACAACCGATTACTGATTTAAATACTACAAATTATATGGTAATTTCCTATGTGATTGGTTAACTTGTTGACCATGTTCATATGACTATAGTAATTACGTGAATTACCTTTAAAAAAATTGTGCTGCTATAAATGGAAATAACATTTACAAAATGTTACAATAGATTTTTAGAAACATATTTGTTTACATATTGTTTATGAGAAAAGAGTATTTGGAAAGTGAGGTGTTCATATCGTCAGTTTGTATATTTTTAGATTTTTAGTATTGAAGAGAAAATATGTTGATAGTACCTATTATGTTCGATTTCAGGATTGACATACCTGAATAATATTTTGTTTCATTAACGGAAAAAATCTGTTAGGTACGTTTGGATAAATAGAATGGAATTATAAATGACGTTAATACTTAAAATGTGTTGTTTACTTTTCAGTCAGTGTGGATCATTCTTTTGTTATTCACTTTGTAGGAAATGTAACAGTTTGACATGTATTTACTCGATTAGTTTTACTGATCCTTATTGATTGATCTTTGGATACATTCTGAGAGAGACAAAATATTAGTTGAGTATTTGATGGAAAAATAGCTTAGTCGTTACAATATTCGGCTTCTGATTCTGAGGTCTCTCGTTTGAGAGTTGCTCAATTAATTTAGGTTTGGACAGCCAAGTATTAACACTAGCTTCCATGAGCTTAGTTCACGATTCCAAGTCTAATAAACAAACTCGTTTATGGTAAATCAGTAATGGAACATAGTAAAACTTATAATGGACAAATTTTGACTAGTTTTGTGGATACGTTTTGTTTCTCAACAAACATGGATGATGTCAACGAAAGTAGAATAGAGTAAAACAGCAAGGATATTTAAACCCATGTGATTTAAAATGATCATATGGCTATTTTCAAGGTCAGATGTCAAGTTGAAACTTTTCGTCTAAAGAATCAAAATTGAATGTAGATCAGTATTGATCAAGATATTTGTAACCGGAATTTCATATGCTCAGACACCGTTTAAATTAGCATTCATTAATGATTGAGAAAAGATAGCGAAAAACAGCCCATGAAATCCATTGATTGATAATTTAATTTCTTTGATGGAATTCTATTGAAAAGATATTCATACCATCAGAGAACAGATAGATTATGCAAAATAATTTGAAAGTGCTACATAATCATACTATTGCTACTACACTTCTAAACAATTTTGTATGTGTGCTAGAACACTCATATATTGAAATATTCACAGTATTTAACACAAAATCATCTACTTGTAATTCTTTTATACTTATTACTCATTTTGTGAATCTTCTTTGATGAGTACTATTTTGATATTATTCTGAAAAGTACGTCAGCTGGTTTTTAAAGATTAATAATATTACGTTTAGATTGTACGGAGTTGAAGAAAAACCACGAATTAAAATAAACTTATATTATTCCGCTATGTTTATTGTGTTTGTTTCAGTCATTTTATTTATATTCTTCAATTTACACTGACTGTTTACTTTGTTTTATCCCCTATTCAAATTATTGTATACATTCATTTGCCTGTATCATAGATGTAAAAAAATTTCAGTGAATTTATTCTGCCAGTGATTTCTGCCGGATTTATTTACAAGGCTGAAAAATTCAATGAATAACTAGCTACAACTAAACAGGGTCATATGATAAAAATTACTATAGGAGTTAGTCTGGTTGTAAACGTTTGTGATAAAAGATAAGTGGCAATTAACCACTGTTAAAAATTACATCTTTTTCCAAAAACAATTATATTTTACATACTCATGAGTTCATTGAATGAAATGCAGAAAGTTGTTGCTACGCTACCTATTTTAATTTCAAGATTTTGGAATATAATTAAACTGAATATTCTGACTACCATTATTGTTGAAATGTTTTAGATAAAAATAAAGTGAACTCAAATTTGTTAAGCTGTCCTTCTGTGCTGATATGAATCAACCATTTGAATCATTACTATTTACATCAATTCCCAACTTACTGATTGAATAAGGGGTCAGGAATGAAGAGACTATCTAACAAACATAAATGAGCAAACACTTTTTTAAATGATTTACATAATTTTTTTACATTCCAATATAGTTATGTCGTAGGGGGGAGTTGTAAATATTCGTTCAATTTCTAGGCCGAGTTTTCACGTATTGATATCCGTTGGGTGACTGACTGAAATCAATAAGAAGTGAGTGTTTATTTTGACCCTAGCATCTAACTCCTTAGAAATACTCACTCAGACTCAAAATTCTCATATCCCTGCTAACATTTTAATATACATACAATTATCAGTACTTTATAACATTTTTTCCCCTAAATATTGTTTAAATTCTAAATTCCAGATGCTCAAGTACTACCAAAACATTTACGTGATCAAGCTCAATTCACTGATATCAATTCATTTGATCATACAATCACATTTCGATCAGATCCATTCAATGATATGCCACAAATGGAATTTAATAATTTAAAAACTCTTGAACATATATCATTCAATAAAAAAAATGAACTAACTGATAAAGATTCATTTACACAACAATGTATTGCACCTTTATCAATTAGTGAATCATTACAATCTTCATCATCTACTAATTCATTAGCTTCATCATTTGATTCAAAAACATCACTTTCATCATGGAATTCTTCAGAATCTTATTCACAAATACCTAATAAATCAGAACAATATCATTTATCATTGAATATAAATATAAATAATAAATTCATTCATTCAATAAATACAAATCAATTGAATTTTGAAAAAGTTTCATTATTAACTCATGAACAATTACAATCTTTAAATAATTTAGATAAATTAAATTGGTCTAATGATTTACCGCAAAAATCAAAGAGAATTGGTCGACATATTAAAAAATTTTTTCATAGGTAAATTTTATTATTTCAATTTTTGTTTTATTAATTAGTTTTATAAATATGAATTTACTTAAAAAAGGTATGTAAAGATCAATTTAATTTCAATCTGTTTCTTATCATAGATTGATATCAACTAGGAAACTATTGAAAAACTAGAGATCTTTGAACTTTTTTTGTTGTTTGTATTAAAACACTTTGGAAACTCACATTTACTTAGAATAAAGTAATTTGTTAAATAAAATTAGTACTATATTTGAATTAATAGCAAATGAGCGTGTGTAATTGAAATTATTATTATTAATGGCTTTGTTCAATATTATATGTTTACTACAATATAGAACACCAATGGGGACAATCGAATGTATTTAACACAAAATTACAGAACTTGTTAATAAAATCTAACAATCATAAAGTAAATGTTTAATTTGCAAAATATCCATTGATTGTCTCAAAATGACTCAGACTTCATTGTTCTTGCATTTTCATACAAATTGCATTTTGTTTCCATTCTTAACTGTTTGATCCTCTTGTCTCTCTGCTGCCAGACCTTCTGTTCACGAATAACATCATTTACTACTTATGTCAATATAAGTAGCACACACCACACCAGTATTAAGTATTTCAAAAAGTTTCTTTAACAAAGTAAAAAGCGAGAAAAAACCAAATAACTGCATATATATAGACATATTTGAGAATACAAGTTATTGACACTAGGCCAGCTATAACAACCTATTCATCGCATAGTATATTTGCTAGATAAGGTATTGTAGATATTTTATACCTTCACTTACGTACGTCAATTCTGATGTATTGGCTCCTCGTTCTACTAGATGATATAACTGGGTGAAAGATAACAATGAAGTGGATGATTAGTATTTGATAAGGTAGCACCTGTTAAGAATTTACAAAATTTCAAATGTCTACTCACGACGATGTTAATAATGACTTTAAAGATTCACCACACATCCTGCTTACTACATTCAGCACTCCCCATAATACCACAAAATCCCGGAAGAACAGTAACGAACAATAGGTAGTATGTGAGAATTAACAAATTACAATAGTAAATGACGAGTATTGCCAAAAACATGAAGCCTCGTTATTTAGTAAGTCAGATGGAAAACTTTATTCGCAATCGATAAAACATAAGAAAACCAAGAGAGATCAGAGGAAAAGTTACATCAAGATAAATGACCTTGGAAACTTTTTATTATAGCATCTCCAACAGTACAAACTTTATTAAATGTGTAAGTGCTGCTCATATCTCAGGCTACAGTTAAGTGTTTGACATTTGGAAGGATTAATTGTGAGACGAATAACAACGGACCATCGTTCAGTGGGAGACTAGAACTCATTCATTTTAAAGGGATGTGAAGACGTAGAAATAGACATACATACTGTGAGATTGTCCGCATATTTAACAAACGTGTTTTTTGTGGGGGATGTCAGTTCATGAAGAAAAAAGAGAGAAGAAGAAAGGAATGAACATTTCTTTGTGGCACACCTTCTTGAGTCAGTAGAGAAGTTAAACAGTTGAACACAGTGTACTGTTCTCTTCAAGTGAGGTAAGAACATAGGCAGTTGGTTATCCAGCTGTCAATGTTGATGCTGATTAACTTGTTAAGTAGTAATCTTGGAAAAGAGTCAAAAGCAGAAGTATAGTCTAGAAATGCTGACATCCCTTATGACTGATTATTCATGTGATTATAAGTCTGTTATCCCTGTAACTTGAACTGTCTTATTCAGATGTTGTGAAGCAATAGGAATTGCTTTTGCAGTTGGCTTAACTGCATCAGTAGTTCAATTAGTTTATATCTCGGAACTAAGTTGTGTTTAGTTATCAAACCTGAATATCTTATCTACCAAGCCATCGGTTAGGTGGCAACTATCCGTAGAAAATGTCGTTATGGACTGCAGATTTTACTATTCGCTTTCATAATATTTTGCATATCTTCGTACTTAACAATTCAATGAGTTTAAAGAACACTTGAATAACCTCAGAATTCATTCTTTACACTAAGCAATATTTGATTTGGTTGGATTTAAATGGTTATTAATCTCAAGATATAGTACATTACAACACCAATGATAGCATCAATTTCGGTAAAGATCATTTTGATATTGATCGGAAATCTACCTTTATTTCATATGATTGTTAGACGCCGTTAACCTTTCTAATTCAGTTAATCTATTTCACGCATTGAATGATAGCTAGTAATGTAGTACATGATGCGCGTTTCGTGCTACTTGGGACTCGTCATCTGGGTATGCCTGGGTACTATAATTTGTGTTCACTCTGGGACTCGGACCCGGATCTGGTATCGTTCGCTCCAGTTGCCAACACATCACACACTTCGCTACTGAGTTCATATATCCCATGGCTTTGGCAATAGGATGAAGTTTAATATATTTGTATTGATTGTACAAATCTTCCCATTGATGATTCAAATGAATTAAATAATAATGTTTGGAACATCATAAGGTTATAAGTAAAAGGGTTCATATTACTCCTAACTTTCATACAGACATTGCTTTGTCAGTATTGAAAAGTTTAATTATTTCATGTGATGGTAGGAAACTACCATAAACGATAAAATATGATTTATTGTATAAACAAGTTCATAAGATAAGTGTTGATTAATACATAATTATAACAAGTGAATAATTCTATTTCTAACCCTGTTACGATTATCTTGAACCATTCAAACTTTCCAACGTGTGAAAACATAATATGGTGTATGTATGTACGTATATATTTGTGTTATTATGCTTAAAGTTTCTTCACTTCCACGAAACCTCATGCCTTTTACCTATCTACGGAGGATTTATATGTTATGCGTATATTAATAAAAGATGCTGGTGTTACTATTATTATTATTATTATTATTATTATCAATTTATTCCATTTTAAGTGAAAACATGACCTCATATCAAACTCTGACATTCAGCATTTATTTCAACGATATTATTATTATGTCCAGATAATAGTTAGTATGTTGAAAAGATCATCATCATTGTAGACATGTTTTGTCAGACGCGAAATAAAAAGATTGGTATATATATATATATATATATATATATTTATATATATATATATATATATATATATATATATATAAGGGGAGGATAGAAATGATCAATTGTTAAGCTATTGTACATTTATTTAACTGCGTACAGATAGCTTCCTGATGAAAATGCCATGTAGGTGTGCTGGAATAAAGAATCATTTCGGCTGAAATATATCAAAATAACAAAATAAGTTAAGTGATACACCCTGTCATTAATTTACTTATACACAACTGAAAAATACTGATGTTTATTTACATGCTACATGAATTAGAAGATAATGAAGATCTAGATAGTTAATAAATCGTTCTTTGTAAGTTTACGATTCCGAAAATCACTGAGCTATAATCTTTTTTAGGATGTAACTTGAGGTTACCAGATGCTTCGAAGATTCCATTGTTAACAATTTTTATTTATAAAATTGTCTAAGATCATGATATGAACTACATTTCACACATAGACGCATATAAGATGTTTGTCTCTTTGGTAATGAGTGATTAGTCCACACAGCAGTTCATGAAACATAGAATATATGTCTAAGTTGTTAATATTTGTCACAAAATGTATTCAAAGCATTTCTGGTCTATGGTGGAACAGTAGAATAGTGGGGTTTCAGTCAAGTACTGAAAAAATGTTTGTTAAAGTTGTGATCCTATATTATTTGGTATGGCTGACATAAGTGTCATGTATGCACACCCATAGCCTACCCCAAACTGTAAGGATAGTTAAAAGAGAAACAGGTTAAATGGAGGCTACAAAACTCAAATCCATTCGCGAAATCATTGACTGCTCTTTCAGTTGTGTCGGAAGGTTAAAATTTCTGAATCTATGACTGTAATTGGTAATTGGAGACTTAAGGCAGTCATATACGACATATAAGTTATATAATGCAATGATTTACCACAAAATCGACTAATTTAATGCAAATATATTCTCTATATATTTCATACTTATTATTTTACCATTTCATTCTATCATTGATGTGATTTGTAACAACCTAAATCGATGCAACTATTCATGCCATGTATTTGATTGTTTACAATTATCTGACTGACAGTGAATACAGATTAAATCGATCATTTACCAATGGTAAATCATATAACATTAAGAAATATCTAATTCACGCTGAGTTATAATAAAAACATCATTAAAATAACATTGTACATATTTCCTATTAATAGGGAATAATAACAAGAATGAAATGAAAAAGATAACAATTTTACATCGTTCCGTTCCATTCTATTTTACTTTTCTCTATTCATGTAAAATGTTTTTATTTATTTTAGATTAATGACTAATCCTAAAAATCAAATAGCAGAACAAATTAATTTATTTATAGAATGTACAAAAGCAAGCAGTGATCGTGGTCCATATCGAACAATGCAATCAGTAAGTTAATATGTATAACTATAATCTATTGAACAATATCTATGATTTACTAATAATAATTTAATGATTAACTATAAACTATGAAATAATTTGAAAGCAAAGAAATTAAACAGTAGATTTGTACTTTCTTTTTGAAAGTGTATTTATGATGCGAAAAATTCGATTTATTCTTGATGTATCCACAATTGATTGATCACTGGGTGATGATCAATGTCATGCATGTTAAGGCCCTATTTAGTGCAGATCGAATGTTATCGAGCATGTTGTAATGTGGCCACCAGTCTAGGTGACTCGACACTGCAGGCACTATATATTGAGGTTAGATGGTGGTTGGAGGTAGTCGACAGGAAACCCTGGACCAGGGTTTTTTGCTACTTGACACTCGTCAGCATTGATCATCATGATCATCATGACATTGATCACCACCCAGTGATCAATCAATTGTGGTTACATTTCAGTCCTACAGGAGGTCAGTCGTGGCCCGGATAGCTCAGTGTTAACGTCTCTGACTGTGAAGCTGGGTGACACGTGATCGAGTCCGCCAGGGAGCACCAGTTCCCTCAAGATTACAGGTACACGTTGCTGACAGGTGCCAAGTAGCACGAAACCCGGGTCCAGGGTTTCCTGTCAACTATCTTCAACCACCATCTAATTCTTGATGTATGCCTGATGCTGCTGTGGTATGGGTTACTTATATCCATATAAGTAGGATAGAACGGTGGTCAGACATATGATGTATTTTCAGTAGAAGGTGGATGAGAAAAGAACGGGAACAAAACGCAATTGGCATGAAAACGCATGAACAATGAAATCTGAGACAGTGGATTGATGTTTGCGACAGAAACAGTCAAGTTTTAGATGATGGATTGATATTTTGAAACTCGACTATTTACTATATGGTTTTCAGATCTTATTGAAATGCTCTGTAATTTTGTACTTAAATACATTCTATTGTCCCCACTGGTGTTCGTGTTCAGTACACTACGATTATAATCAATAATCTTGATGAGGATATCGGTTTAGAAAACAGAGATTGGGATAATGATAGGAAAAACAATAAGTTAATAATTGTATACTTTTATATTTTATTGTTAACACTTCAGAAATGTGTTATGATCAGTCAATTCTGGTGAAACTATAATTTATGGATGATCTTTGAGTGATGTCTTAGTGATCTTGAGTATGTTTACCTACTTACTAGGACTAAATGAGGGTTATAAAGCAGTTTTAAGAATAAGGATTATGATTTATAATTGATGGTTAGGGTTAGGAATTAGATTCAAGGTTTTCATTATGAAGTAACATTAGCTAAAATGTCAAAACGTTATTTAGACAAATGGATGAATGAATTTCACACCAAAATTCAAGACCTGGTTCGTCCATAAATTATAGTCTTGTCGTTATTCTGTAAAATTAATTCGTAAAATAAAATTTTATTTAGATTATAAATTGACATAACTGAAAATAATGAAAATTTTACTCGATATTAATACAAGCTGAATGTTCCATACTATACTGAATGATTATTATACTGTAATTAAACAAGTAATTTATTGAATCTTTAGTTATATCTCTTTCTAAAACTAATCAAAAGTATCTTTATCAATGAATGAGATTTAAATTATGAAGATAAATATGTGAATGGTAGTTTTATTATTTTCTTCTTAAAACAGGGATAGAGCTGATTCTGTTCATTACTAACTGGTTAATGAAATACTATTATTAATATTATCAGCTTTATTCAATATTATGTTTTTGGTACAGTATAGAATTCTCAGCGTAAAGTATTTCAACAAGTTTCCGTTGCTTTCTTCTTGGTCGGTCCTGGCGATAAATATTGAGTAATCGCCAGTTAGATGTTAGCAGTTAAGTAAATGAACATTTGAATAATGTACATTCTTTTCGTTGTATATTGCCAGCAACCACATTGTCCCTTATTAAGTTTCTTGTAACTTTGACAACGAAAGGTTGTACAATTTTCAGAAACGCAGCAGAATAGGTTATGTGATTAATAGACATAACGATATATTAAAACAAACAAGAATAGATAACTTGTTGAAATATCTAGATGGCAGGAACAAGTAGCCCAGATGTTCAAGCAGGCCGCCCTTTTTAAGTAGTAAAAATTTCCTATTTCTTTATTTAATATTAAATAATGTAAAACGTAGACAATTTTGTTTATCAATTAAACTTCTATTTGACATTACTTTACCTACGAGACATTATAAATACAACTTTTTAACAACGTAGATTTTCTTAAATGGTGCTATTCTTGAAGGTAACTATTGTTATTGACTAACTCTTGAAAATCATTGAACTTTATAAAGCTTTATCTCCTTGATTTATGACTCTACAATAATAAATATACTTGATCTCATATCGGATCGAATGTAAAAGGTTCAGATTTTCTACTGAGCATATTGAATTTAGACCGCTTTATCAGGATTGAAATGTTTATATTTTTACATCTTCAGTCTATTCATGTTACAGAGTGATTATCGTCAATTTGATTCTTTCATGTATAATTGAGATCACTGACTCATAATATACTTATCTAATACTGATTTGTGAAGTTGTTGTCATTAGGACCACAACCTTTCACTTTGAACAATATTGCGTTACACTTTAGACTATATTGTTTTAACCTGATTAAAAAGTTCCATCAACATATGAAAATGATTCTTCATTCATAAGTATAAATGTGTCACTCAGTTCTTGTTATCCACACTCTCATATGGTATCTATCTGAACATCGGTAATCAAATAAATGAACATCTACTGAATAACTGATAGTCAGTCATCTTTAATCATTAAAGCTAACCCAAGTGTATCAGTGAATGGATTCAACACTTGCGGTATACAATATCATATGATACTGAATTAAGTTATATTTATCGTTTGATTTCAAGAATGTTGTTAAAAAGTGATCGAAAACATTTCTAATACTAATTTGATTGACCGAACAGGTCCTAATGTAATTATCACAATACCATTGGAAAATTTAACTATTCGAATTTATGACTTCATTAAATACTTGTTCAAAAAATTATTTCAAGCTTTAAAAGTTATTAAACATACGAACTATTGAAATTAGAAAACCTATTTGCTAGACATTTGGTTATGTAAAAATGACTCTGAATGGAGCAATTATCGACTCCTTAATCTTTGCTTTTTTTCATTCTACCCTACATATATATATTGTTTCTTAACTACGTAATTTAGTTAGTTTTTTCCTACATAGATTCGCCAATTCATCAATGGTATGACCAATTATCTCCTCAAGAATCCATATCTTGGTCTTCCAAAAGCTGTTGAACGAGAGAAAAAGGAGGTAACATCTTTCTATTAATCCCACTAATTATTGTCGTTACTGTTTAGTAGCCTTATTTGTCTTTGTTTGGTTTACTCATGTTGTGATATGCTCGTTTACTAGCTAGTCACTTAGTAACCTCAACTTCAGTACAGTGAACTAGACTACTTTTTTCCTCTGATTTCCTGCCTTGTAATAAGGACGAGAAGTTCACTTTTTTTATAGAAGATTTGTTAGTAGGGACCCCAGAAGAAATAATTTATATTCAAGTTTATTCCTTTAAATATTGTTTATTCAGTGATTTAAGAAAGTTTATCAAACGGAACAATTTTTATTGAACACAAAATACAGTGAGTTAGTTAAAACAAACGAAAGTGCATTGAAAATCATACAACTAACTGTATATTGAATATTCGATATAAGCAAAAACATGCTATAAGTCCATGGAAAGAATTCATTCTCCATAAACTAATGTAACAAAAATGCGTTAAATGTTGACTAGACAAAAAACACCTTAAACTGATATGTGAATTTTAAGATCGACTTTCTTCTTCATACGTTGTATTTGGAAATTCCACTGCCACAACATGGGGAGATATCCAAATAAATTGTTATATTGATTGATATGAATATTCAGGGAAGGGGTTTATAAATATCACTCAAGCACTAATGATAACTCGGATAATGCAAGCATCTACAGGTTAGTTATCGTCTGAAGAAATTTGAAATAATAAGGAACATTATTATATACACAAATACAGGTTATGTCACTGAATTTTCAATCTTATAAAAAGTGAATAATAACAGTGCAAACTAATCTGAAGCCAAAACAGAAAACACGTTTTATTTTCTTGTTTCATGTGAATGTGTTTGATTAGAAGGTAGTTTATATCACACATGGATATTGACCGGTTTTAGCCCTGCCGGGAGCTTAACAGTCAATAACAATGGATGGTCCTTCAGCTATAGAGCAAAAAGAAATTCCTAAAATTCGAGCCACCGGATTCTGAAGTATTGATCTAAATGTAATATGATCAATGTATAAACCAGATTTTCCAAGGTAATATAAGGTTCGGTTTGAAGGTACAATGTGTTTTGTGATTTAATTTAAACATAGACAACTCAGATGTGCACACAACTGACAAAATTTAAAACTGAAGCACTTCATCATGCTTTCTGAATGGAATCGTCTTTAAATTTATTCATTTCTGTAAAAGATCAATCTAAATACAAAGTAAAGTATGTTTCTAAATGGCTATTTTCAAGATTAAATTTGTAAGTGCGATACTGCAGAACGGCAGAAGTATTTAAAAAATAATCACATCATTCAAGAGTATCAGCAATACTCTGGTGCAAGCCCATATAATTGAGTTCAGACTAAGTTTTTTATAAACATTGGCGACATCATCTCTTTGGATAGTTTTAGAGCCAGGTTTTAACCTACAACCTTATGGTTTAAGACAGATTGTTTGAATAAGTAAGCCATTAATCACCACTCAAAGCTCTCTAGGTCGCTAGATTTCGTTTGTGCGTAATATAAGCTGACGTGATATTGTTGTAAGGGCTACACCTCAGTAGAATTTCAAACTTATTGAGCTAAAATGATGCAAAAATTGGAAAGAACTCTTTGTTGTTTGCGATCGAACATTTTTATATAAAACAATAAAAGCTTTGTATGATTTTATCTACCTCGTTTAAGTTCAGACCCTTTCGTTCATTGTTTTTGATATGAAAAGCAAACCGCTTAAACCACAACATATGTACTACATTTTTAGTACTGTTACCATGTCAGAATAGATTCTTCATTAATTTTCAACCTTCATGTTTTTCTGTTACTATTTAAAAACATACACTTTCTAAACTTACTCATTATTAATCAGTGGTATATAGTTCCAAATCTCTTGATTAATAAAGTTGAAGAACTAGAAGCGTTAATGAAATAACCGTGGATATTTTATGAAAATAGTCGTTGATAGAGTGATAAAAAAATCAGATTAATTTTTTTTTGAAGAATATAATTTGATTTTTATTAGTAATATGAAGAAAATCTTCATTTTGAATAGATTCTGACTCAGAAATCATTTAACACTAAACAATACAGATTAGTTATTTCATCTCTATCTAGGTTCTTTAAGATTGCAAACTTATAATCTTACATTTACTAAACATAAAAAACTTCCAGGTATTGAAATAAGTACAATATCATGATATTGCTCAAATGAAATTCAACAGTCACGCGTACATAGCCTCTGCCAGGGAAGTCCTACTCACTGCCTTCTCGTGGCGGGGGTGTTGTTTACGAAAATGAGAGGACGAAAAGCGAATGTCCGGCGCTTTAACCGGATTCCAAATCAATGGTGCACATGGGCTCCAATATCCTGAGGGAACAAATGGCGTATGAACCAATTGTTGGTCACCGGCTTCCATGGGACTGCATCTCCTTACGATGCTCCACTGCCTTGTGGATCAGACCCTCAGGTCAAAGGCTCCGGGTGTGGCCCCCTAAGAAAACCACCTGTTTCGGTTTGGGCACCCGGGCAGTATCACAGCCCTCACACATATCGAATGAGAGTTGTGTGGCGCATATGTATTCGGTGCCTCTTTGTACAAATATCTATGTGTTGAAATAAATAAAAAATAATAAATAAATAACTATAATTTTAATTCTTGTCACAAATGATTCACTATAGTGTTATTTAAAGAACCAAAGAGGAAAATAAAGTATCTGATTGATCTCTTAATCACACATATTCTAATTTATTCTTTTTTAAATCCTTCACCGATTCTTATCATAAATTGTCTTTTTAATTAATTTAATTTTAGTTAAATGAATTCGGATATATAAATGTTGGTTTTCATTTAGAATCAGCTTTACAACGATATATTCTTAAACCATTACATTTTCATGTGATTAAACAATTAGAACAGGAACAAATAAAGTGAGTAATTAAATTAATCATTATTACATTTATCTATAAGAAGTAGGTTTATTTTGTAGTTTTGTCAAATGTATCGAACAGATTAATATTAATTTCACTTAATAATCACTATGAACTAAACTTATTTAAGGTATTTATTGTCAGAAGGCATTAAACAAGTGTTTTGTTCTAGTATGGAACTCGTCACTAGTTCAGAACTACTAATTCATCGATGATCGAACACAATATCTTCAACTTTATTAATGAGAACATGTCACTTCTAGTAATCCATATTTCTCTCTGTTAGCTTACAATATGATGTTATTATCATCCATTACTATTGCTGTTAACTAGCTTCTTTCAGACACTATTGAATTCAAGTACTTATAACTTTTCGTTCGAAACTGATAAACTTGTCTTGACACTACTCGTTGGCAAACTTACAATCACAGTTTAGTCTAAAGATCCATAAAGATATTTTCCTCAATAAATTCATTTTAAAATTATTCACTTTTCTGATGAGAAAAGTGAAATTGTTATTAAATTTTGTTTGACTGAACTAGGCTGGAAAAAAATGAATATAACCGTGTCTTGTTAAAATATGATATATATAAACACGACCGTGCATGATGCCATGCGGTTTCGCGAATCTAGTAAAGATCGAAATGTGGAATCCAACTTGGTGTTTTCAAGCTCGTACCTTCACTGAGTGACTTAAATATTTTGTACTTGATCAGCAGCTGAATCGTAGGCGCACACTGTTAAGACTACTCAAATTATGATGAAACAGCCGGTTAGAGCTCAGTTTTTTCTTAATTTTTACCTAGTTAATATAAATTTGTGACAATAACAAACTACGTTATTTGTATTCCTTATCAAGTTTTCAACTTTTTAAAATATTTTGGGAGGACGCAATCCAACAGTTCTTGCTTGAAAAGAGTTGTCTTTATATATGAATGAACGACAATTGATTTAAAGTTCAGCTAACCTATCACTATTATTTTGATGGTTGAAATCATGAGTCGATCTAAGCTAGACCACCACTGATAGCCTAGAATCACTAGATGGCCATTTCATCCTAGCATGAGACTCCTCAACAGTGCCCATCCACGATCCTACATGCAGAACATTAACACCGTTGGATGCGTCAGGCGTTTGCGTGCGAGAACGAAGGTCTCGGGTTCGAGTCTCGTGTGTGTGTGTGTGGTCGCAGATGCTCAATGCTGAGTCACCCATCCTAGGACGCAACAGCCGTCCAATGCTCCCAGGTTTTAAATTGCGATCTAACTTAGATCGGCTCATAAATTCAAACCCCCAAAATTACTACAATCTCCACAAATCTCTATTCTGATATTATTATTATTGTCATGATCATCAATATACATATTTCTATGTGTAAATTGATTTTCAACGGCTAAGCTCAGTACAAATAAACCTTAGTCATTCAATTCATAAATAAGCCTATCAAATAGCAGATATGTCATATTCAAAGACTAATTTGTTTTATTGTCAGTTAAAATGAGGAAATTTTCCAGAGTTTAGAAAATATGTTTTATTATTATTATTTTTAAGGTGGTGTAAACTCACTAAACTACTCACTTAGAATAGACATAAGAATTCACCTTCAAATCAGCGTTTACATTTTATTTCATACTGCTTAGCTATTATACTGAAAACTGATCATTTCCATGCATAAAAGGAAAGTTACAAAAATCAGATTTTATCACACCGTTATTTATATGTGTCTTCATCTTTATTATAATTATATGTAAAGAATGTTTGGTCAGTTGATCTATTTATCCCAAATTAATGAGGACAATTTTTTTACCCCTAACAAAACTTCAGTGCATCAAAACGCATTTAATTATACCTAATTAAAGAAAGAATGATTGTAGTTTACATGTGATAGTTCCATGCAGATTATTTTAATATGTCGCTGATATTTTGTTATGGATTGATCTCAGTGAGAGTATGATCAAAAACCATGTGATATTAGAAATACGCTTTGTCCTAGTATGGGATTACTCATTAGTGAATTATCCACAACCGCACAACATCGTATCAAAGTCGGAACCTTTGATCTCGCACGCGAACAGCTAACCTCCAGATAACTTTGTGGTATGGGGTCCCGGGTTATGAGTTTCGATCTCTGGTTGTGAGCTTTTCGGTGTACACTTCTGAGGAGTCCCGTACGTGGACGAGACTCCTGTCCAATGCTTCCGAATCCTTAATGATTATCTAACTTAAATTGGTTCATGATCTCAACAAAATTCAACCATTTCCACAATACTATACTAACTACAATGGATTGGTTGAAAATAGTGATTTTATACTGAATAATTCACAATAAATCCGCTGTCCTTAAATATGAATTTATGTTTAGAAATTTACTCAAAATAATTTATTTAATCAAAAGCTTAAACACAAAACAAACTAATTTATCGAAATTAACTTTCATACTAGACTGATGTTAACTGCTCAAAATTAAATGACTGAATACCTTTGAAAAGAATCTAAAAGCTTCAATAAAGCTGATCACAACTATTACTGTCAAATTGATAATTTTAATTTGATGAATAATTGAAAATATTTTATACAAATTCTTGTTTTATTTGTACAATTTATATATTTTTATTATTTAAAGGAATACGGATCTCAGTAACTTACAAATTAAAGTTCAAAAATTATGTGATCCCGAAATTCGAGCATCAGATCTTGGAATACAGGTAGTAATAATAGTACTTTTTTTCAGTTTGTAACTAATAATGAGTATTATACAATTAGCATTAAGATTGATGAGGCGAGAAAAAAAACTAAATGGAGAGTTTCAATGTTAGGTGTTTGATGACAGTCAATCTCATTTAGTCCAGAAAGTTCGGTTGACACTTGCTACCTACTACTACATCATCTCGGTTTCTTTTGTTAATTATCTTGTTCATTTCATCTTTTTATGCAAATTCGATATGACAACTTGGGTCAACACATAGTTTATCAGGCTCTACGCTGTTGATAATTGTTTGTTTTGCAATAGTATTTAAATCATAATGGCTTCATTTATAAGTAGTCCGGTTCATCTTAGCATCTTTTGTATTTTTGAGTTTAAACTCAGCAGAACTATTCTTCAAAGTCTGACAAAGAGTTAGTAATGATAATAGACAACAAAAGGATACATATAAAATTCGGAGTACAAGTTTTATAATTTAAACCTGTACATCCAAAAGTGTTATTGTACTTACTGGAATTATACGAATGAGATACATTCCACAGCTATGATGAGAACGGACAAGATAATTTCAAACAAATAAATTCCGTTAATTGGATATTACTATTGAAAATTAGTTTTTATCACGGACTGATACCAGTTGGAATGCTGTTGAAAACCGGGTTTGAGTAATTTTGATTTGGGACTTATTAGCTTTGCACCACTCTTGACCTCACAACAAATCCTGCCAAACACCTTCAAATCTTCTGGCGTGTATGCTACGGAATTATTTTTCAGTGATCTGTGAATTCGATTTTGTTTTCTTAAAGACGGCTTGACGAATATCCATTGTAATCGGCGATAAACTGAACCCTTACCAGTAATGGTTTCTTACTACAAGTCAGTGATTGATGACCATATGGTTTTTATTTGGAGAAATTGTTTTTTTTAATGAAAACAATTTCTAAAACCAGTTGATATCAGCTGAATAGTTATAGAAAGTCAAAGAGTACTACTGATAATTCATGATAACAATTAGCCTCAAAAAGGTACAATCTTCACAAATCGTTAAATGCAATATTTTGAATCTATATGATTTGCACTTGTGGGATTCTGAAACTCATAAAAATTGTTCAGTTATCAATATCAGCATAAGTTTGGACTAAATTATGGCTGCGTATATAATTATTAGGTCTACATTATACAAATAATGGATTTTGATCAGGAACCCCAAAAACTCTTTGAAAAAGTCTCCAAAAGACAGGCAAATACTGAAAGTTATTCTATAGAAATTTCAAACGAATTCTAGATAACGATGGATTATATTATCTTTAGTGAATTTTTAGCGATTTCATCTCTGACTTCACATGTTTTCTAAAAGTTTCTAGAACTTTAAAGTTACATGTTATCCAGTAATTGTTTTTGTGTTCTGTACATGAACTAATCTTGGAAATAGAAATCCTTTCCATACTGCTCGAGATTCGAGTATCAGAAATTCTGAAAAGGGATCTGCAAACGTCTAGAAAGTCAATATGAAGTATTTAAGTATTAGTTGTCTCACTTTTTATGGTTTATTGTTAAGGAATATTATTATCGGTATGGATGAATTGATTTTTCACTGTTTGTTTTCTATATCTCTTAAAGTATGCATGATTTAAAGCACAATTTGAAGTGTTTCTGTATTTATGCATGCGTTACGAAAGAAGTAATAGATATGTACACAAAAAACGATACACTAATATGTTTAGCGATTTATTGAACGTACTTATTAATTAAAAACAATCTCATAAAACCTGTGAATTACATTTCCATGATACCTTGTTAAAGATTTAAACAGGCACTTATGTGTTACCTACAGAGTCAAGTTTTGGTATATGGTGATTATTGAACATGAATTTTTGTTACGTTAATTATACTAGTGCTGATTCATTCACCTCCATCAAACGTATGTATACAAGTTTGTGTGTTCACTTGTTTGAGCGAAAGTGATTATGCAGTAAATATAACTACTTTAATTGAATTATTTATAATTTCCTCGTAAACATTCACATGATAGCCATGTTTTCTATTCATTTATTATGTCAATTATAGATAAACACGATTATTATTATTATTAATACTCGATCATCTTGATTTATTAGATAATAATTAGAATGGATGATTTATAAGTGATCGTAATTGTGTCTAAACTAATAGCTAGTCAAAAACATTACTTCTTGTCATAATGTACACTAAAAAGACCCCCTGCCCAGGCGTTTGACCTACCTCTTTTCTAACTGTGAATATACTTCAATTTAACTTCACGTTTTAGATTTGTTTGAACGTAACAACATTGACTCTTAACTCTATGTATTTGTATGCTATTATAAAGTGAATACAAACTATTACAATACTAAACGTGAGAAAAATCTAACGGAAATGCTGTAGTTATTAACGCTATTTAGTGTAGAAAATTCCGCTCATTAACAACATTTATAGCATTGAAGCAAGTTATTGTTGTACTAATATATTACATAGTTCTGATGATCCTTGTTTTATTGTTACACTATCAAGAGTTATTATTATTATTAATCCTTTAATGTACTTTCCTTCAGATAGTCACCTCTGATTACTGAATTCATATCATTTTTATTTCACAACTTACACGAACATCTATACACAGTACAATGAACAACATTATCAAATAGTTATCCACTTCAATTAATAATTATCAGTATATGTTACGATTAGTAGGTCCCGACCGTTGTTGCTACCTTGACGTGGTGGTCGGGCTTGCCTATCGTGATGAAGCAACCGAGCCATACTGGCTGGAACAACCGTTCCTCAAAGTCCTACCATGTCAGAAAGGTCGGTTGAAGAGCGGTAAGACTAAAAGCAACAAACCCAAGGTCCGAAGGCGAAGTCGTACTGCTGACTGTACAGCGGTGTGACAGCAGTAAGGTGTTTCCTTCAGATAACCAGCATGACAGCGATGCTGCCTTCTCACAAGGAGGGCTGGGGTTTGAAAAGGTCGACCCTAAAAATGCACACTTCGCCTCATCCCACGAATATCCGTCTCCGGCGATAAGGTCTCAACAAGTACAGAGCTAAGACAAAATTTACCCATATAAAGGTCGTGTGTGACCGACCTCAGGCAGTTGTCCCTTGGGCAATGCGGTCACGCTCTCAGGTCACTACGACCACCTTTAATTCAATTTCCTTTTCAGGTACCTCCAGAAGAACCCTTCCACGGTGTGGGCAACCGGGAAGTGATAACTGCCCTCATACCTCTAACAGCACTCAAGACCACTGTATTCATAATCAACCTCCCTCTTCAATTCCTATTATTCCTCCTACATCGACTTTCAACTCTAAACTTCCTCTATCGGCTTCCCCCTCAGATGTCACCATAGCCAACGATTCTAGTGCGCAAAACACTGTCCCAGGTCTACTGAAACCTCGCTCCAAACTACACACTGGATCCTTCAACGTACCCTATGTCAAATCGGTCAGCAAGTTTCCTTGGCTAAAACCCTAGAGTCTCTTACCATTGATGTGTTCTGTGTCTCCGAAACACGCATACACGATTCCAGTGTGGTTATTCATTTGACCTCACCTCGGCAAAACGGAGAGCCGATGAGATACACCCTCCGTGTATCTGGTGACCCGATGACCAGTTCTTGTGAACTGGCAGGTGTAGGCATAGCACTAAGCATGAGGGCCGAACAAGCACTGCTAGAGTGGATCCCCGTCAACAGTCGTCTATGTGCTGTTCGGCTAAACGGCTCCGTAAGAACTCGGAAGGATAGGGACACACGTCGTTGCCTTTTTGTCGTTTCTGCCTAAGCTCCCACTGACTGCAGCTCAGATGAAGTGAAAGATGAATTTTACAGAAAGCTGTCCGAACTTCTTCAGAAAGCTAAACGCTCAGATAGGTAGTTTAAACCAAACAGAAAGGCATTTAAGTGGATATTTTAGTATTCCGACACAGCGAACAGATAATGGTGATCGTCTACCGCAACTATGCTCAGACAATCATTTATTTTTAGCAAACACAAATTTTAAGCATAAGGAGAGACATTGTCTAACATGGCGACCCCCTACATCAAACCAACGATGAACTCAAATAGACCATATTGCCATCAGTCATCGTTGGAGAGGGTCGGTACAAGATTGTCGCTCATTCTGGAGTACCTGCTTGGACTCTGACCACGCCCTAATACGGACACGCATCTGCTTGCGACTCACTGGACGCAAAAAAGCCACATTAAAAAGACCCATTAGAACTGAGTTGAGTAACGAGAAAACCAAAAGTAGGTTCAAGGAACAACTAAGGTCACACTCAGGTAGTTCCGAAGACGAGGTTGACCCAAAGGTTGCTTGAAAAGGCATACAATCAGCTGTGTAAACAGCAGTAACATCTATTAATGACTTAAACCACAGAGTTACAAAGAACCAATGGATTTCTTCAAGGTTTATCACACTGATGGATTCTCGCAAACTCGTCCCATCAGGTTCTGAAAATGATGAAGAGCGTAAAGAAATCAGATCCAGGTTAAGAAAAAGTCTAAGGAACGACCGTGAGCAGTGGTGTGTATTGAAAGCAAAAGAGATGGAAAAGGCGGCGACTATAGGGAACACAAGACAGCTTTACAGACTAATAAAAGAAACTGGAATTAATAAGTCAAGTGTAAGTGAGATTATGAAGAAACTTATATCCTGGACTTTCTGAAAATTGGTTTTAGCCGTGTAACATTAGAAAAAAAGTTTTTTTTACATAATGATTAGGTATTTGAAGGCCATTTGATAGGCATGTCTAAAGAAGCCAGATATGTTTTCAGGTATGTTTTTCCCATTTCTGTTGATGCCTCCATCGTAACTCAGTCTAAACTATGAATCATGAAAACACTTTAAAACAAGCATTTATAATTCACCTGATGTTTGATGTTACATAAAGCTGAATAGAACGGCTTTCCCTATCAAAGGAACCTCTTTTCACCTGACAAAGTATGCCCAAAATGATATTTAGATTATTGTATTGAAATGTTCTTAAACATTTAAGATCAAAAGAACATCGACTTTAAGTATTAAACTAAGCTAAAAAGGTAAAAAAAGATACAGATATAATAAAAACACTATTGTATAATACTTTGACCAATTAAACTCCTAGGAATGACCTCCAAAAATAAATATACAAGTTTGCTATTCCAGCGGAATAAAAGGTAGAGGCTGTAAATCACCGTAGACGGGATTAATTTTATAGAAGTTGCCCTAATACCAATTATAAAACAAGCTTACAGATCTACTTTCGCCATATTGACTAGCTTATCCTAAAGTATGAATCACTTAATGAATGATCTAACATTATTTTACGTCTAAGAATTCTGCTTTGCTTGATTATTCTCTGTATATACACTGTCTTTTCAGAATTGAGCAGAAATGAGTAAAAACTAGTTATTATCAGTGAAAAATGTAAGTCAGTTGAGTAGAATTTTATAACTCCTAAAATAATACACACAGACTTCTTAAGTTACTACATAAATTATGTTAAACTAATCGATAATTTGATGATATCATGAATGTAGTAAATTTTAAGAAAAATAGCAAAAAAAATCCTCATCCTTTCCCTTCAAACACAATGCCCTCGAACGCCCTGGTACGGTCGAGAGTGGAGAGAGTCCGTTCTCCCTCTCGAAACGCTTTCACATGGCCACGCATAGATAGCCTCTACCAGGGAAGTCCTACTCACTGCCTTCTCGTGGCGGAGGTGTTGTTTACACAATTGAGAGGACGAAAAGCAAATGTCCGGCGCTTTACCCAGGTTGGTGGACATGGAAAGTTCACCTAGAGGAGTTGGAAAACCGTGATTCCAAACCAATGGTGCATATGGGCTCCAATATCCTGATGGAATAAATGGCGTATGAACCAATTATTAGCTACCATGGGACTGCATCTCCTCATGTTGCTCCACTGCCTTGTGGATCAAACCTTCAGGTCGAAGGCTCCGGGTGTGGCCCCCTAAGAAAACCACTTGCTTCGGTTTGGGCACCCCGGGCACTATCCCAGCCTTAACACATATCAAATGAAATATGTGTGGCGCATATGTATTTGGTGCCTCCTTGTACTAATATCTATGTATTAAAATAAATAAATAAACACAATCATTACCCTTATAATTATCATTATTAATCTTTGATTACATTAATGATCTCCAAAGGTGCTACAACCTTGAATCATGACAAATAATTTATTGTAAAATTATACGTACACAAGCTTTTGACTCTAATCATTATGTTCATACATAACATGTATCCATGTATATACAAAAACTATATGTAATCACCTGAGAATAATAATAATACAAGTATAAATAATTCTTCATTAATGTATACCCTATGTATAATAGATTGTTTAATTAATTGGAAATTTCACCTTTCATTTGTATAAATCAATTCCTTCTTCTTCTTCTTCTTTTATTTTGTTTTTCTCATAAAAATTTCATTGTTTCAATATGTTTCATTAATTTTCCATCAAAGGCTTTTTTTTATTTATTTTTAATTCATATAAAGTGCATCCATGTAACAAGTAACGAGGTATATATATAAAAGGAAACGTTATAAATTTCCCATTTTAATAAATTTAGTGTTTTTCTTTTTTCCTTTTTTTTAATAATACTAAAGAATAGTTCATAAAGTTTCATATTTGAATTAGAAAAACTAAATAATAAATAAAGAACAATCATCAAATATATGTATGTGTATGTTCATATTATCAATATAGATGAGGAAACAAAAAAGTATCAATATTACCATGCAACCCCTCCCTGCCTATTAAATGAAGATAGTTTTTATAGCATTGTGTTGGTATTTTGATGATTATTAACGAGTATCAATTGGATTAATTTTTTATGTTAGTTACATAACTACAATGTACTGATTATTATTATTACTAAATTATGAGGTGGCATAAAATTAATAAACATAATGTTTTCTGTAAACGTGCAAGTTCATTCGATAGATATCTTTTTTTCTTTTCTGCATTAGCTATTGTAGTAATTTGATTGTTAGATGATAATGAGTAGTATGTACTACATTTTAGCACTAAAATCTACAAAGGATAGTTTGGATCACAGATAGAATTTAGCTGGAAAACTATTGAAAATTAGTAAGGATTGAACATGATTTTATCCTATTATGAGGTCACTTAACAGTATCTTTTTTAGAGGGAAGTGACTGAAGTTAGAGATGTAATTCCCTAAATGACCAAGAGGTAATCCAATTTTTCTAAGGCTTAAGGGTCCTAAATTTTTTTCCTGGCAAAGCTATATCTGGTTACTGTCAAGAAGTCCTATACAAGAGCGAAATAACTTCCCAGTTCATTATATAAACTATCTTCCAACTGAATATTTTCTAAAAACCTCGTATCCTATGGGGGATCTAATGCTTATGTTGTGAAAAATGTCAACTAGATGAAATCAAATAGTGAAATGTTACAAAACGTGCTTGAAGTATCTTAACCGTTGTTTATTGTTCACATTAGTGATTTGTATAGAATGACCCACTAACGTAGAAAGTTACATCATAGCCAATTAGCTTACTGCCACACCATACTGATGAGTTTATACTATGGCCTCACAGTAAGGTGTTAATTGATGAGATAGTGAGTAATCTAAAAGCTGATTTCCTCCACTCTATGAAGGCACTTTACCATGCTTATCTTGTGATCACATTTTGTATATCGGCGCGTCAGTTTACCACATATAAAACCTATTCTTCTGGATAGCGGGTTTCTCTTCGATTACAAACTATTCAAATGCTTAAGTCAATAATATGGTCTCGTAAGTAGTCGTCACTCAGTCAATTCGTTTCATTGCATATCATCGAGCTATCGTAATTCATCCTCTTATTTCACCAACCGAAAATTCGTTCATTAAAATCATTAAAATTCTTCTTCATTCAGCATACTTGTTACCCATCAAATAAAAAAAAATGGAAGAGATGGGCAAACAATACACTTACAAGTAGGTGCGACATCTTACATTACCATTATATCACACAGACATTGAATACTGTTTGGAGAACCTATTGTGGAAATAACTAGGTAAAAGGTGGTAGAGGTAATCTGAAATTAACAGAACGATTTCGACCCAGCGTTTCCTTTCAAGGTTTAGTTTTCCTAGTAAAATGCTATTTGACAGACTCTGATATAAGCCTTCTAAGTTTAAACTGGTCTGAGAGTCTACACCAGACTAAAAAGCTTCTTAATTTCACATGAAAGAACGTTCAATTCGCTGTTTCTACAAACTTTTTAATTGGAACTACTGAAAAACGTTTCTGCTCTCTTCAAATCAAATTTGAGTCGTTCCAAAACTGTGCATGTGGCAAATCACTTGTCTAGCTCCGTTAGACAGTGGAGAATATTGAGTAGGTATCGCTAATTGACCCTACACGGTCAGAGGAACCATGTTAACAAATTCAAAGTTAAAAATGACGAGAAGTGCAGTCTACAGAATTTCTTTTTTGTATATATTGTCACACCTAGTAAAGCAACTTTCCAGAAAAACATTCACCATAAACTTTGTTAGGATGAAAACTTAACACAACTCCCCATACTGTCTGTGCAATTTCCCGAAGACAATGCAAAACACTCAAGATTCTAAATTACAACACTTATGTTTGTTCTTGTCTATCGATCTCACCAGAAGGATATGAAACGATATCAAGAAGACAAATAAAATGGTTGTAGCTTCAAAAGAAAACAAACGGATTGGACATTCTAATCTACCATGTAAGATAAGTACTTCTGATTCTTCTATTACTATAAGAATATCACTGAGTATCTTATTCAGCCAATTCAGTTTCCCAACCCATGAAGAGGACTAAGCAAAACTAACATATGACCCAGATTCGGATACTTGAAAATTTCTACAAACCTTCAAACCAAATTTAAAGTAGTTATTTGATAAATATATGACCCATTTAATCACCAGCACAATTTCTCTATCATTATATAATACATAGATGAAGTTACAAGTTAATTCTAACAAGTTATCTTTAAATCCTTTTTACATTCTAATGTATCATGAAAATGTTATAGTTTTATAACTTTTTCTCTCTTCATATTTAAGTGGTGCCATACAATTCTATTTATCAGTTTTATTTGAATTTTTATACTCTGTTTCATTACATCTTAATAATATTCTTCATGATAAAGTTTTGATTTACTTTTCTAACCTTGAAATTTGTTTCTTGTTTGGTTGTTTGTTTGTTTTTCTTTAAAAAAAACTGTTTGATAAACTTTTATTGCCTTTTTCTCTCTCATAAGGTAACATTTTATCAGTTTATTGTTATGGCTGTTACTTTGTCGCAACAATATTTCTTTTTTTTGTTCCTTTTAAATTAAATAGAATTATGAAAAAAGATCATCATGAGACTTATTTTTTTGCTTTTTAAAAACGATAGAGAACATTTTTACCTCAAGTAAATATTTTTGAAGATGTTACTTTCTCTGAAATGAACGAAACATTTAGTCGTTAAGGTTATATTATTATTTAAAATAATATCAGTAGTTTCTACTTTGAGTGGGGTGTGGCCCTCTAAGAAAACCACCTGCTTCGGTTTGGGCACCCGGGCAGTATCACAGCCCTAACACCTATCGAATGAGATTTATGTGGCGGATATGTATTCGGTGACGCTTTGTATCAATATCTGTGTGTTGAAATAAATAAAACTTTGAGTATAATATAAAAATCTAGATGGAAATAAACTTGGATAATGTTGTATAAAAATGAAAACATAAAATTTTTATAATTGAATTATCACTAAAGGACTTAAATATTTACACAAGAATGTAATCTGTCCTCACTGTAATGAGTTGAGGATGATTCTCATAATACAAGTATTCATTTTATATATTTAAAACAAATCTATTATTAAATATCTCGCCTTAATTTGTGACTTCCCAATAGAGTACACCTTTGATTCTGTATCTTCTTTAATGTAGAACATTAAATATTCGAAATTCATTTTTTGAAGTTTGTTCCTTGTATCTAAACCTAATTTTTCCTATTTTTCTTCAAAGTTCTGTTAAATCATATTGTGACAACAAAAGTTGAAGTTGTTGACTTCAGTTGAGTTATCTATTGATTTGTTAGTTTGTGAGAGTTATCCAAACTAGGTTGTTGCAATGACTTAAGTATCAATAGAAGTTGCCGTTTACCTACTTTCATAATACATATATGTATGATGTTGTGTAAAATATGAGACGGTATTTTGTTTTGAATAAATGGTGTTGCCTGATTGCCAGTCCGGGGCTTTTTTTATCTAATCTCACAGTTCAATCGCTGAATAAGTTCTGGACAAGCATGACATTGGTGACTAATGAACCAACAATTTAATGCCACGGGAAACTAAAGGATATTTGTATTGGACCTCAGGACTTCTCAGTACGCTAGACCGGCAAATATATCGACGGTCTTACTCAAAATCTTCAAGTTACCTTCAAATTGCTGAGTTAATATCCCATAGAAATAGCTTATGTTTTAAATTTTAAATTTCATTTTCATTCTACTAAAGTTTTTTCTGGTTATAAATTCATCGTTTTATGAAACTTCTTATTTTTTGTTATGTCTTTTTCGGATTTATCAACGAAATATAAACTTGTCAATTAGGCATCTATCGCACCGCCAAAAGAATCTCTTATACAATATGTGGTCAATGTTTATTCACATTTAACAAATACCTATTCAGTTCAACGGAAAATCAATTATCTTATTTCTATATTTAATTATATTCGAAAAAGTGTAAGTGATTTAAATATTCTTTTATTTTTCATTATGTATATTGTCACTTTATCAGAAAGTTCGTTCTCATATTAACACTCTATAAAAGATTTCATTAATAGATGTTGAATAGTTGAATAAAGTATATATAAAGTTAATTCTAGATCTCTCAATATCTTCTATAAATAATGAATCAATCAATTAATTGTAAACAACATAGTAACTTAGATAAATATATATCGATCCGACGTACTACACAAATAACATTAGTATTTTTTCTATCTAGTACAAATGTAACTATTCACCTTTGAGTTAACTTTCTTTATATTGAGATTTATATACATACACAATTGATTAGTTTATAATAAAATGAAACTAATGTCAATATTGCCACCGTCAATCATACTAAGATTTCAATCAATAACTTGTTTAGTTAAATAGAATTGTAATAAAATCTTTTCAGAACCTAAATAAGAATTCAATTGTTTAATTGTAGAACATTTATTGGATTAGATTAAAAATAGATATTAATTTAGCTACTCAATAACTAGATAGAGAGTGCTGTTTCCTAATTTAATTAACATTTTCTTGAGTTAACTTTTATGTCGCTGCTTGGTTACTCAGACGTATATAGGTAAGCAGATTCGAGCTCATGACTTCGTACTCCAATGATGAATTTTTATTTAATCATCAAATAAACCATAACTCTATTGTATAACATGTTATGATGTAGGAAGAATTTAAAATTTTTTTAGAGAGTTTAACTATTATCGACCGAAATAGAATATTTAAATGTGGTCAAGTGGTAACAAAGTTGACTGAAGAATCTTTAAATGACTCATATCCGAATATTTACTACCAGATTTGTATGATTTGAACTGAGTAATGTTTAACATCAATTAATCATTAATTTACCATGTGAACACATACCATACTGATTGATTTTTATATTGACTTAATTTTGCTCTTTTGATTCCATCATAGCAATAATTGATCACAACTCCTGTTGAATAAATATCAAATGATAGAACAATTAAACCTTTTCAACGCTATCTATCAATCCACAAAAATATTTGCCTAATAAACACATACACAAATTAGATTAATTTTAAGAGGTGAATTTCATTTCGTACATAAGTAATACGAACCTAATTTGTAATTACAGATTAATGATAATTGGATATGTGCTTCATTTTATTAGAATACGCATATGTCCTTCCGTAAAACTAAACTCTAAACGTTCAGGTGACATAGTGAACTTAGACTATTAAAATACTTTTGAAATTTATCAGTAGTAAGTATGATAAATCTATAGATTATTATTCTTCAATACTGGTGGTAGAGTTGATTCTAAAAAACAACGACTCAATCATAAACCGATCAAAATACATTTGATCGCCCACAAGGATGAATTGTGTTATTTTCTGTTCAAAATCAGCCAACCACAATGGTTTTTTTCTTAGCTATTACTGTGTATTGGTTCATTATCATTATGTCATATAGAAAGAATGATGGAAATTATAGTTTGATAATGGTGATAATAATTATCGAGAAAGTTATAAGTGTATATACACAAAGACTATAGTTTCGTTAAAAGTTATATATCAGTGTGGAGTAGAGGAAGCATTTTATCGTATACATAAAACTCAGATTTTATTGAGATCATGAACCCATCAATGTTGGACCGCCATTGAAAACCTAGATACACTGGGCGTCTGTTTCGTTCTAGTATGAGACTCCTAAACTCAATAATCACCTCAGCATTATATTGATAAAAATAAGATTTTTTTTTTAAATATTAGTCTTCATCGTTAGACAAATTTTGGTGTGTGTCCATAACTAGCAGGTAATTGTTTGATTGGAAATAATTATGTTTCATCATAATCACTAGGACTTTGAAGTATCGCTCACAGTTCTGTGTTGAAGAGTTAAGTAAACTACTATCTCCACACAAAAATATTCACTGATATAGTTCAATAATTAAGGAAGGTGAATAAAGGGAGCAGTTTCTTTGACAAAAATTGGCATGATGCATCACCAGATTTGGTAATAATCTGTATTAAAATAACAATGAACCAGTAAACAAGAGAAATAGTAAGTTTTTGTATCATCTCGTTGTTGATATTGAAAATGGTAGTGACTATCTAAGCTTAGTAGTTTAGTAGATAACACACTAGTATTTAGAAGGAAAGGTATGAGTAAAAGGATTACCACTGGGAACTTGATAAATTCAGCCAAGATAGAATGACACACATTCATAACAAGCTATAACCTACATGTTGGAAAAAAAGGAAGAATTCCTTAATCTAACTTTGAAGAAAGTAGATCACATATTCAATCCATAAATACAATTTATTATAATTAATAGTATAGTTATACATCTTGAAATATCAAAAGAAGAAGTAAATAACTCAAATTTTATTTTATTTTTATGATTAAAAATGTTTGTTCAGATATACAATTTGAAATCGGATCAAGAATTAGATGCAAACTCTTTGAGTACTGAAGGTTAGTGATTTGATTCACAATGACACAAACAAACATTGATGTTGATATTTTCTAATAAATAATAATAAAAATAATTCTTTGACACAATAACTGAATATAAGTTGGCTGACATGATTTCAAGTCATATTCAATTGTTGTAACTGAATATTAAATAAAGAAAAATTTGAATTCTTGAACTCACAGCTACATCATCAGAGATAAAGTTGGATATTACGTCCAAAAAAAGCATTTATCATTGTTAAATTTGTAGGTAAAATGATATTTCAACTTATAATCCAGTTGAATTATTCATTTTACTTATTCACTTACATCTATTACCCCTTGTGGAAAAGCATAGGTCGCTCACTAGCATTCTCCATCGAATTCTGTTCTAGACAATCCTTTCCAGTCCTTTTCAGTTGCTATTCAACCTTTTAATGTTTACTTCCAATTCTCAATGCATTGTGTTCTTTGGACTTCCTCTTTTCCATTTACCTTCAGGATTCCAAGTAAGCACTTGACTCGTGATGCAGCTTGACGATTTCCTCAATATATGTCCTATCCACTTCCATCGTCTTTTCCTATTTTCCTCCTCAGCTAAAAGCTAGTTTGTTATTTCCCATAGTAGGCTGTTGCTGATGGTATCCGGACAACGGACATTAAGTATCTTGCGTAGACAACTGGTTGTAAATACGTGTACTTCTTGATGATGGTTGAAGTAGATCTCCATGTTTCATCTCCGTATAGCAGAACTTTCTTGGCGTTCGTATTCTATGATATTTTGTCTTTGGTTTTGGTGACGATTTCAGTTCTACAAAAAGTTTGTCTATAGTTGGTTGACCAACAACAACTTGTCTGATCGTGATACTAGGTTATATGAGTTCGAATATTACCATAAGCATGATGTATGGTAGGTTAATAGACGTCCATTGGTCAGATTTTATTAATATTAGTCAAACATTTGTATGTTCTTAATGTCCTCATTCAGATTGTTGAAATGATGCATATATAAGAGTTGCTTAACAAACTGTCCAGGATTGTATTGATTCTCATATACCTGTGTGTGAGTCAGTTGAATTGAGTCAAACAGACTAAGTTACCTATAAAGTGTGTTCTCATTTATCACGTCCAAACCTCGTTACATCAAAGCATCGGCCGGCCCATTATTCCCAAACACCCTCCTGATGGACAACATCTATCAGGAAATCTTAGTCGAAACAGTGACGACGGACCACGGGTGAACTCGAGGAAGCTGTAAGAGGCTCGGAAGGAGCCGAAGACATTCCATCCAATCACCTTTCGGAAGAATATTCTAGAATTCCTACGTGTAGCCCCCCGATTGAACAATGCTAATAGCCTCGTGTATGTGGATTGGAGGACTGTAATGATGATTTCGTTCTCACTAAAAACTATAAATACCTGACAATTTTGTACTATGATTGACACTGTTTAGAATAATATTTCTTTCATCAGTCTTCTGTCTTCTTATCGCGACTTGGAAGGGTTTTGGTGTTCTAGTGCTCTGTTATATGCAGTATATCAAGAAATCAACTTTCAAGATATAACAGAAACTTTTCTGTAAAGTGGCTGTAACACTTCCAACATCAACTTACTTTACTGTTTTTTTGATTGTCCGAAAGTTGTTTTTTGATGATGAGAAGTTGATGAGAAATAAATACGTTACCGCATGGTTACAGAAAACATGTTCCCATACTCTTCTATATTTATGATAATAACACCATTACTCACAATCAGCTGATTATTTTTATTTCTCCTCCCACCTAAGATCTTCATGCCTACTACGCTTGGGTATTCGCTCGATCTGGCCTACTTCTCACATCACTTAATCCAACAAACAACCATGACATTGGATTACAAACCACTTCACTTACAAACAGTAATAATAATATCAACAAATCAATAATCTGTCCAGCTGCATTACAAGCTGATTATCTAGATGGAGTTTTAAATACCCCTCAACTAAATGATCAAGCAACAGGACTGAATGATTTATTCGGCTCACTGTATTGGATATGGAATGATAAAAATGCATTATATCAATCACATGAATCTAGTCCATTGACACAACAAAAACTTTTAAACACGGAACAACAAAATGCTTCATCATATTCCATAAATAAGCAAGAACCGCAATTAATTGTAAGTTGGCTATATGTTCACGGAGTTATTCACTACCATTTATTATTATTATTAGTAATATTATTATTGTTATTATCATTATTATCCAGTGCTAACAAAGATTTTCTCTAAATGCCACTATTCATTAAGTAGATTGTATAGAGACTGAGTATGGCATACGAGGTTGTGCGTGATTAGCCACTGATAAACAGTTTACAACTTAAAAAACAGATTAGAACAGGTAGACATCACGTTTCGGTAATATCATTCACAATCATTTAAGTAAAACACTTAAATAAGCTCCCTTTAGAGTTTAAAATACCATTTAGTGAGGACTTTATTTAAATGACTGAGAGAGATACAGACATGATAGAATTTGGAAATGGTTATCATTTTTCATTGGTTTGTCATCCTAGTTTTGAAATGACCAAACAGTAACTTCAATTCTAAAAAAGTTTATGGTTTCTCAGTACCAAAGATTTCACAAAATAGTATTGAACAGCTATTTGATCTCCTCTATTCTCATTAATTTCTCAAACAACTCTATCTTGTAAAAACGATTTTTTGAAATTATAATAAAGTGGAAATATTCCTTGCTATTTTGAACAAGGTTTCACATAATTTCTGTAGATTGTTAACTCCTGTAAAAGTTATATAAGAACATAATGTCAAAGAAGAAGAACTCCGTTGATCCTAGCAGTTTATATGAACATTTTAAACATGGTATTTTAATGAATCATATTGATGATCTTGATTTAAAAATTTAATTTTCTCAAGCACAATTCCATTTCATAAAGTTAATCTAATCGCCAAACAGAACTGTATATTAGTGAATTCTACCAGATACACTACATATTTTATAAAATCAATTGAAACAATAATTTAAACTACTTATAACCATATATCAGTAGACTTTGATTTCTAAATAAAAAAAACAAATGCACCCTAGATTATTTCCTCTATCATCACACGTAGATTTCAACTCATTTTCCTTTGAAATCGGTAAACTAATTAAAATCTATTTGTTGGTTGGATTATATAATCCAATTATTAATTGGTTGAAATAAGAGATTATTAAACATTCAGATAATTGTATTGTTAAGTCAAAGTGACTGTTACTGAATTTCCATAAATTTCACTATTTTGAGTATGAATTTATTTATTTATTTATTTATTTGGACACATCGATATTGGTACAAGAAGGCACCAAATACATATGCGGCACACCAATCTCATTTGATTTGTATGAGGGCTATGATACTGCTCGGGCGCCCAAACCGAAGCAGGTTTTGAGTATGGACGTATTATCAAAATTAAATTAATATTGAAATGTATAGTTTTAAAGGTTTAATTACTAAGATAAATTGTAGATGCAATCTTGAAACATTACTGAATAATTATTGCTTTGGAATAAATCTTACATTTTATTATCGACTGATATGATAGCGAATCCTTGATAAATATTTATTATACTATAATGAATATAATGTTTCAACATATTAACCTAAAACATAGTGACGACATAACTTGTTTATTTTGATACTAAGTGATGTTAGAGTAAGCGAATATTTTAATTTACATGAACTGCGTTATGTGTTATACGAATGGTACAAACAAGTCAATTAGGAATCGATGATTTCACCACAAGATTTAGTCATTTATGAACTATTTTCTAGTGCTTTATGATCACATTAATTATCATTTGGATAATAAATAAGTCCTAAAGAATGATAATAATGAATTTTTAATATCCCAGTGAATAAAAAAAAACGAATTTTCGATGTTTCTCAATTTAATATTTCACTTCGTAAGAGGATAAACAACCTTCTATATTGAAGCTGGAATATGTGTTGGACCTAAGTACTTGAGACTGTAATAGATTTAATTTTCTTCACTTATTCGATAGTCATAGAGTCACCTTCGAAATTTCGCTATTCGTACAAATGTTTTCCACAATCGAACTAACTAAAAGTCACCTAGAAAGAAAAGACTTTTAGTTTAATGACTGGAAGCCTTAAAATCTTTATTTTCGGTCTAAGCCATTTTCGGTAGATTATTAATGTTTTTTAAAAATCTATACATGTTCTAACATTATTCACTTGTCTCTTCCTCAGCTTATCCTAATAATCATATTGAAAAATCTTTTGTAAATTATTTATTTCAATTTACAGACTCAAGATGAATCATTACAGAACATGGTCAATTCATTTAATTTAGGTTCCTCGAAATACATTCCATATCACCATAAGCAAGATCATTCAACCTCTATGGAAAATAAAAATTCATCTAATAGTTTATTTCGTTTAACTACAGAATTTAGTAGACGACGTATAATACCACCACGTCGAAGAAAAACTGTCACAGGTGTAAATTTGCCAAAAATACCTAATATTGAAAATTCGAATGAAATAAAATCTTCTCCAACTAAAATACAACATAATGTTAAACATCTGACAGCCGATTCGAGTATGAACACTACTAGACAGTACTCAAATCTATCAAAACCTCAGTCCATTTCCCATTTAACATTGAACGAAGATCACTTTAGTCCTGTTCCATTGAATCAAAATAATAATAACAATAATACATTATCAAGATGGCGTCCATGGATTGCACAACCAACCTTGCTGACGCATTCAACAAGTACATGTCCTCTACCTGTTCAATCTTCTTCTCTTTCTTCGACCGCAAATCTACAAATGTCTTCTACATCTCCCGTTCATGCGAATACAGCAAACTGTTTACAAGTATTAGTAATGAATGAAGAAACGAACCAGTTACAGGCATTAAATTATCCAATAAGGCCAAACATGACAGCTAGAGAGTTAAGTGAGTATATTTACATTCAAACTATACTTTCTGTATATATTTACTTGTTTATAAGAACAAAGATATTTAATTTATAATTTTAAAGTTATTTGTGTATCATATAACGAGAAGTGAGATCTCTATAAAAACAACTCTCATTATGAATTGACATCACCTAAAGATTTATAGAGGATCAGAAAACATTGAAAGGTTGTTTTTTATTGGTCTTCTAAACCTTAACAGTGTACATTAACAACGCCACTAGAGATAAAAACCAGGATTTTCAACACATATGATCAGCTATCAAGATCTATACCAAAGGCCCAAATTGAAAATGTCTACCAATTTTTGAATAATACACGTCAATTGTTCAACGTCATCCACAATAAAAACAAGATTGAATGAATATGACAGAAAATATTCACAAAACGAAGTTACATTTTAATTGAAAGAATTAGATTATAAATAAACGGAGGTGTATCCAGATTGTTTATCGAATTCAGTAAATATAATCATGTAAACTTCATTGATATTTAACATATAATCTGACTGATTTTATATTTTATTTAAATTCTTTTCAATTGTTGAGATCATGAATCAGATGAAGCTAGATAGATCATCGTTTCGTCCTATTGTGGGACTCTTCAGTAATGAGCAATAGGACGAAACAGCTGTCTAGTGCTTCCAGGTTTTCCATGTTGGTAATTGTGTCTATCACAAAAAATTAATGTTAACTTTAGAATCATTTAAAATGAGAAAATATTTCGTAGAATCTTTTTTTGTTGTTTTGTTTTGTTATAGAAATGTAAGTTGATGAATTCATGCATATGATCTAATCTAAACAAAGCTTACAGATCTCTCATTTCTATTCAATTTATATCGTAGTTAACATGTCATCTATTGTCATATGTCAACTTACACTGTCCTTTATGTTATTGTTGTCGTCGTCTTCGTTGTTTTCAATCAATGTTATCATGTTTATTATTTATTCTCTATTCATATTTTATTTATTTTATTTATTTATTTTCAGATAATTTGATAGCATTTCAAATGAGAATATTTGATTCAAAAGATTTTGGATTATTTGCTTACATTAATGGAACAGGTAATTATTTTTGACTTTTGTTTTTAGATTTATCACTTAAATGTTTATAATCTTTCTTAAATCATTGCGTAACTCATTTAAAGTGTAGTATTTTTCACAGATTTTATTTAAGGTGTTAATAATCCTTAGAAGATACTACTAATTGTGAATAACTTGACCGGAAAATTATTAAAATAACTAATACACAAAGTAATAATGAAATGCTCTCACAACCAATTGTATGTATTATAGAGAGAAAATCAAAATTCATGAGGAAGCTTTAATGATTCAATCGACAATGTGTTGGGTGTTTGAAATGTAAAGTATTAAATTCACATTCTATTGTTAATCCCAACATTTGAGTGCAATTTTTTTCCATCTGATGAATTCCAAATAAGAATAAACGCTATTCTTGGATTCCTCTGTTAGCCATTATCAATCTTTACTTAGATACTTGTAATTCAATAGTAGTATCAAGGCAATCCGTTCAAAAAGATATATAGTAAAGGAAAATGAATAAAATTTAGTCGATAACATCAACAACGGAAAAATTGAAACAATCACATATTAATAATGGTATTATTACTTTGTAATTTAATAGTTGAATTTACAAGTCAATTAAGGCTAGACCACCGTGAAGAACTTAGAAGCACTGAACAACTATTTTGTCTTAGTATGGGTCTCCTCAGCAGTGTGCACCAACGATCTCACTCAAGGGATCGATAAACGAAATAATTATTCCTTTTTTTCGATAAAAAGTTTTACTCTTCCCATGACAAGTTATCTAAGCTAACTAAAAATTTTCAATATATTTGAGAATTTTAAAAAAAATCTAATAACTGTAAGATTCATAACCATGTAACAAGTGATCTTATGACTTAATATCAGATCTGTTATAATCAAGATTTAAAAAAACAGACATTATAAACGCATTAGTTACTAAGATCTCAGTAACTATTTGAAGAGTTCATGCTATCCTGTTTATCTTGTTTAACTTACATATAGTACAGACTTTTTATTAATTCATAATATTATCTAAATTAATTTGTTAGATTTTGATTAATTGAAAGTTTTATTTGTTTCTTTTTCTGTTTAAAAGAAATTCAATTAGAAGATGAACTACGAATAGCTGAATATACTAGTTTAAATTCAGATATTTCATATTCAGCACATTTACTTCCAACAACAATGACAATGGTTACATCATCACGTTCACAAACCGGTACACCTAATTCACTTAAAGACCATGAAACACTTCCATTCAAAAGTCATGTTTCTATTAGTTCACATTCTGATTCTACTACCAGTAGTTCATCTGACTTTCGATCACGAACAGTATCACATCGTACGGGAAAGTCAAATCGAAACCGTGCTGCTTGGTGGACAATGTGTGGATCGAATGGTCAATCAAAGCATCAATTAGTAGTACCAGTTCAAGATTCAACTTGTAAAAATACTACAGAATATCATGAAAATTCAGGCTTGCATAAGCCAGTGTTAGTTTATAAACGTAAATCTGGCTATTTTGCCTTATCTGACCGTCTGTTGGGATCAGGATTAAAATTTATCCAACAACAAAACTTAGAATTACCTTCCCCTGAACAATCATAATTGTGTAAAATAAATCAAAAGAGTTTCGAATCATTTAAAAAATTCCAAACTCCTGTATTCAACTGAACTTCCAAAATTCTCGTATTTCATGACCCAAAATGTATTTTAGAAAATATCTCACCGAAAATGTATGTTACTTATAAATTTAATCAGTAGTAACAGATAACAAATTAAAAAACATTTTACAAACAAATTGTCTTAAATCGATCTAAACAAATCCTTACAATGATGTGCATTTAATCGAACCAGATTTTCTATTCATTGTTTTATTACAATCAGTTGAAGTGTTCAACAATATGCTTCAGTAGATACACAAACATATGGCACTATTCATAATAACATTTATTATGATTTTAACTTTCATTTCATAGTATGACTTGACTAAATATTTATGCTTACGATGCTTCTACTTATTAAAGTCTATTTAAAAGTAAATTAATACAATGATGGCAGTTCTGTCTGTGTAATCCTTCTTATCATTAATTTGTTTTCTTCATATCTATATATTTTTTCTTTTTGTTGAAAGTGGTAATTATAATTTTTGCATTGAAGTTTTTACTTGTACATGTTACCTGTTATTAGGAAAACACGGTGTCAGGATTTCACGAAGGAATCCTCTGACGTTGAACATAATAGTACTTAATAAAAAAAATACCCATTTACATGGGTACGTGCGTTTACACTGAGGATAGCAAACTGAAAAGTCCAACAGAAAAAAAGATTATGTATAAAACACAATAAGGAGAATATGATTAAAACCGGTTACCAAGAACGAAATAAAAAAATTGTCTCTAGGCCTAGATAATCCAAAATCATAAGCACAATATCATGCACATCTTATTGTTGCTACTAAAAGACATATTTTACTCTGCTTAAGGCTTCTTAACCTTTGAAAATGGTCAGAGTAAAACCTAGGAACTGACATTTGAATATTTTGGTTCTTACAAGTAAAATGATATTTGAGATTTCTATATAACCGATTCTTCTATATTTGAATCCTCATCGTTGAGTGCTACAGATTAGGCTGTACTATTCAAATAATAATAAAAATACTGCGCTTGATAGAGGTGTATTATAGCTTTTGTAGCATATTAAATGTCAGGTTAGGTGATAGCATCAATAAATCTTCCTGAATTTTGCTCTTATCCACAAGTCAACTAAAAATCTTCCAGCTGAACACTTTTGTAAGTCCTTAAATCAAGATATAGCATATCAAACATTCAATACACTTTATCGATTTGTTGTTATTTCCTTTTTTTTATTCATTTGAGTGGAAATATTAGAGAAAATCAACCTTTATTATTAAGGATTTACTAGTAAAACTCCAGTGAAATAGAAAAATTAATTTTTTATTGACAGTTGAGTGTATTTTTAATCTGTTAAATGAATACCACGATCAAATCAAAGTCTATAGGCAAGTAATATCTAGTGAACATATAGCAAAAGATGTAGTTTGACAAACTACCCACTAAAATCTTAAGGTTCCATGTGCTATGTGCATGTTTTAGATACTGTGATGACTTTAACTGTGTGTAATATTCAGTATATCATTCATAAACCATAATTTGTTTAAACATTTTCGTTAAATAAGCGTGGGAAGAAATATGATTTTATTTAGTTGTACCACAGATGTGGAACGTTTCATGATTCTTTGCATTTAGATTATCCAGTTTCTACCACATTAGAGAACCGAAATCGTTCTTTTCACATTTTCTCACCAATGGATCGATAATTGGGAATAATTTTATAATTCTATACTAGAATGTGGAAGTCACACCAACTTGAACTTGATTATTTTAGTAGTATAGTACGGCTCAATCGGTCCAATCATATATGTTTGAATTTCATTATAGTTTATTCATATGACCAGAATTAAACATAATTATTTAGCGATGGAGTATTCTGTATCTTATAAAATTTAAAAAGATTTTGAATTTACTAAGTGTCATTTAAACAAAGTAAGTGTTCGATACAGATTCTACTTTTTTATGTCATACCAGGAGATACATATGAATACCCAAATACATATATAATACAACTACTTGAATAAATAACTTTTTACTTACAAAATAAAAAATAATGATTTAACCTAAATCAGACGGTACAATAGGTTAGACGGTTACTCCTTCCCCTGGTAATGCATATTATCAAGTGATTGTAAAAGTTTGTTCAAAGGTTTAAACAGTGTTTTTTTTAATTAGAATAACACTAGAAATGATTCAATGAGTTTATGTTTGATATCCTTCTTGAAATCATTTATTTGTCCTTTTGTACACGCATTCATTTTTAACACTTTTTTCTCTAAAGCACAGTTTGTTTGGTTTCCATCAAGCTAGTTTATCATATTAGTCTGAATAATAATTTTTTAATGATTGAAATCTGGAAATTAAATTTAGTGGTCATACGCATTCGATTTGTAACATTTGTAACACTTGAGGTGTGCACCTATCAAGTGGATGATACCAAGTTATAGTAACGTCCAAACTGGGGTCAGTACTCTGGATACATGTAATACAGAAATTAAACAGTTTGTGTTCAGTTACACTTAAAGACTTCAAGTTGGTAGACTGATGAAATATCATCATTGTTAAAGATCAATGTACTGACCGTCGATCAATAAATTATTGAATTTAAAAGGAAAATTAACTAATTGGAACACTATTGAAGTCACACCACAGGGTTTCCTATCAGTTCTACTAAAAATCTGGTCAAGCTTCACTTTCCTCTACCTTTCTAGTCTACAATATGAATATTTATAAAACTTTATTCTAACTACATATTAATTGATTTTTATGGATTATTATACACCCATATTACAAAAACCTGTGAAAATACTGCAATCTCGATAAATCCTATTTACCGCTGGCTTCAAGACGTAACTCCTGGAGTTCTTGTGAGAATCTGTGACCAGTGGAATTCGATCTGTATCGGGTTTGAGACAGCTATTCATCGCAGACTATGGTGAAACGTTGCGCAAGATCATGGACTGATTGAAGTTCTGGGTTTGAGTCCCAGCTTAAAAAATGATGGGTATGCACACTCAAGGAGTCTCAAACCAAGACAGAATGTCCATCCGGTGCTCCTCGTTTATCAATAATGGTCTAGCTTACATAAACTCGTGATTTCAAATGTGCAAACATTTGTCATCATATATCATCCAGCTATGTAATCGATATAATTCAATAAATCTCAACAATTTATCTTAGTTGGAGTTGAGTATTTTTGCTGTTAATTCAACTTGTACTTAATATTGTTTTATGTACTAAGTAGAAAGAGTCTGTAAGTAAACATGAGACTAAAAATATGAATTTTTAAACTAGTTAAGAAACATGTTCATGATCTCAACAGTATATCCTTGATTAAAATTAAATATAAATTTCATTGCTTCTGTTTAACATTCCCATCATAAACTTTAGATAATAAACGCTAACACCAAACTTATCTATTATTCTCTATATAAAACAAAAGAAAAATTCATTTCATGACTTTCAATAGTAAACAGTTTCACTTAGAAAATAATTCCCATAATAATGAATTAATTATCATTATCATCACCAAAATGTAATAAATTATTGATTAAAATGAATAATAATAATAAGCATATTTGTTAAAGAGAATGAGAGAAAGGGAAATAAAAGGATAAAACAGATAGAAAATCCCAGTAAATCAACAACAACAAAAAGAAAAGAAAAAAAAACTTTTTTACTCTAAAATAGTAACCATAATAGTAATTTTGATGATAAGAATAATAATTGCACAGCCATTAATTAAACCAATAAAAGTATAATGACCAAAAATTGTTTTATCGACAATATCATGGTGATAAACAAGAAAGGGGAATAAAATCAAGTCAATCAAAAATAGTTAGGAATAAATATTATGAATATAAATAGTGCCAAAATGAAATATCTTCAATAATAATAAGTGTAGTTATTGAAAGAAAACAAAAAGGTAATCATCATACATTACTAAAAACCAAACTGTATATGTCTCTTGTTTTTTTCTCTTTGAACACAACAATGAAAAGAAGGTAGTACAAAATGATGACTACAAGAGATTATAAAGCAAAGAAAAATGAAATGGGAAGAAACAACAAAGTTTCAGAAATGGTAACTACTTGAAAACACTGGTTCATAATATATATATATATATATATATATATATATATGTTCATTTGCTTATTAGTGGTTGTGTTGTGTTGTTTTGTTTTTCTGAGAAGAATGTAGATATTAAGTGCATAGGAAAGGATGAGTGATGTAAAAAGTATTTAATATTGAGTAATAGAACGGTATTAAACATTGAATACACAATACATTTGTAAACAGTGATATACACAAATATTATATCTATATGTATGTATATTGAAGCAATTTATATCTAAGAGGTTTATAAGAACTATTTTGATATGTGAATTTATCAGATATGTAATGTATAAAGACAATGAATGTTATTGTTGTTTTAATATATTATTAAATGATATGATAATAATTATCGATTTACGTCTGAAGATTTTCCTATAATGCTAATTTCTGGCATTAAACGTAATTCTGATAAAGAGTCAATTGATTTATCACGTCGATTACTAGATGTATGTTGATGGTGATGATTTCGTTGAGTTGATGAATTTGACTCTGATCTCATTAATCGTCTATCATTTATACTTTCATAATTTGCATTGTGTTGTCCATCAGAAAACTGAATTGACAATAGAAAAATAAAACATCATGTTAATGTGATGATTTACACTTGAAAATTAAATTGATAATACTAATTTCATGTTTAAGTTCAGCATTTCTTCGTCTGAAAGCATTTCACCGTGGGAATAAATTAAAGTCAATTTTATAAGACTTCTTATCTCAGATTTTAGAAAAGATAAATCTATGAGTTTATTAAAATGTCCTGTGTTCGAATCTCGCGAGGTGGGATCATATCATGACTAACTTATTGAATAATAGAAACTGATGTATGATGTAGATTGGTTAAAAAAAAGTCAAGATTTTCATTCGAATGGCTCTCAGATTTTTGTCTCATAACGTCAGTTCGTTGACCATTTAATGAGTTTAGATATAAATATTATAAAAACTATGAGTAATCAAATTCACTTACATCGTTAACTCAAAACTTCCCTTTGATGTGTTAGGGACGCAATTGATCAGTCTCAAATAAACAGTACAAGTAAATTTAAACTTCATCCCATTGCACAAGCAAGTGGCTATCATGACTCAGTAGCTATATGGGTAGCTAACTACTGGGTTCGAGTCCCACACTGAACATCAACTCTGAGATGCAGGTACATCCAGCTGAATAGTCTCAAATAGAAAGAAACACGAGTCATAGATTCCACTGTTAGCCACTATCCATATTTGCCTATGAGTAATCATTTCACAATTGTATACAACTCGTTAAATAGCTCAAACATTTAATGGTCATTAGAATGAACACTTTTCTTTGTAGCGAAAATAGCCTACTCTTAAATAGGAAACACCTATTGTGAAATTTAATAAAGCTCTCTAGTCAAGTAAATCCCTCACAAATGTTACAGTCTATTG